GCATTTGAGCCATGAAATTATTCTTGCAGTAATTCTTATATTAATAAACTAACTGCCCGATAGTTGGAATGCTTTTCATGTTTGGTGGAAATTGTTAGGAAAAGATGAAAATTGATTGTTATCAATTCAACAGTAGAATAGAGTTACGATAAGCAAAACAAAACTTGTAATTCAAATTAATTAAAGTAATTAAAAGTTAACAACATTATTTAAAAAATTTCTATTAAACTTCTAAGAATTTATCAAGGTTAAGTAGAAAATGAGAAGAAAAACGGAAGAGTTTAACAAATAAACAAATAAAAGTATTTGGAGCAGTTAAGTGTAAATTAAATATAGTGCAAGATTCAAAATGCAATAATTTTCGGATAATGAAATTCTTTCAAATGTTGAGAAAAATTTCTGCAAACGTTAATATAATTTGAGTTAGATCATTTTGATCGAAATCATTCAGACCATATATTCTTCTAAATGCATTAAAAATATTTTCTCAATAATATGGAGAAGAAATAAGATAAATTGGCTACAAGAATTTTCGTGGTAGACAAAATTAACTAGCAGAATTTGCAGGAAAAAAATTTTTAGAGTGTGAGAAGAAGGAGTTGATTAATGGAGGCATTAGAGAAGCTAACAGAAGATTTTGATTGCAACGGTTTTGTGAAAGAAAATGTTGAATGAGAATAAAACAGGAATGGAACGGATGAAATTAAATGAGAGCATTTATATGCAGATTAGTTTCCGTTTTTGAAACAGAGTTGCATCAGTTCAGGTTTTGAACTGAATTTATTTTACTCTCTTCAAATTTGATTCATTTATGAGAGAAAAAAATCGGATAACCGGATTCTGCACTGATCTAACTGATAATAAACATTGAATTTTCCACTTTACTATCATAAAAATTTTATTTTTTAAACTTTTTCAATCGGATCACTCAAACAAATAAAATACTACTTATAACAATTTCTTTTCTTTCAATGTAAATTAACATATCTGAAATTTAAAGATGAACAGGTTAATTAATTAATTAACTTTATTTAAAAATTGCTAAACAAAATATTGTTACAAATTAAAATCATTCAAATAAAAAGAGAGAGAATGGATTTTAAATGATGTACAGACGATAAAAGTAACCGGAAACTATTGAAATTAATGGGAAGAAATTATATGGCGCAAAATGCGCTATCATCATATACAATGGCGGGCGGCTTCATCCCAATGATTATAATATGTATATATTTTATTCTCTTCATTATATTCATCGCTTCTTTTAGATTACAATAAACAAATGTGGAGAGTTTTTGTACACTTTTGTTAGTTTCAGTTAGTTTATCGAAAATTATTTATTGGAAAATATGGCCTAATTGAAACTAAAACAAAGAAATCAAAGTTTCAATTTAAAAAATAATATATATTATAGAATTTATGGAACAATAGAGATATCAGATCTTTAAATAAACTGCAAATCATTTTATGAAATTTAAAAATTTTAATGAAAAAATTTCCATCCTTTCTTTACATCAATAGTTGTTATAATAAGGTAAATGAGTTAAATTAACGAAATACTACAACCAACTTCATTGATAAAATACAACCAAAACAACGGAGAACACTATCATTTATCTGTTAAACATTCAAAACGATAACTTTCCAATGTCTTCTTAGTGACAGTACAAAATTGTAAAATGTAATATACTAAGTGAAAGACTAAGAAAAAGCCTAAAAGTTGGAAAATTTTTTTCAAAATCGAAAATGCTTCCAAAAATTGAGCTAAAATTAGTGAAAAGGATAAAAATAGCTATGTAAAAGCAATTTAACTGAATAAAATTGGACAAAGAAAGAATTCATTCATTGAAGAAATGAAAATAATTCAACAATTTATGCAAATAATATAAATTAAAATCGATCTCATCAATTATATCTAATTTCTTATCGAATTTCAACTTGAATTTTCGAGCTAATTGTAATTTGTTAAGAAAAATTCGAGTAAATAATTGTTTGTTTGTTTATTTTTGTAAACAATTCAATTTAGAAATTTCTACAGCAATTCCTTTTCTGAAATTCTTTTTCTTTCTTTGATAAATATGAAAATAAGGATTTTTAAAGAGATTTAAATAAAAAGCTGAAGTTTGAAAAATACAAATTGTGATGGCATGGCCTTCGATATTGTTTTAAGAAAGACTTCGAATACAAATGACTTATTGTTTTTAATAGAGAGAATGCAAAGGTCAGCTAAAATTTCTTTAAATTTAATGATTTATTTCGAAATATTGAAAAAGAATATTACACCTATATATTCCATAAATAGCAATGCTAATTAATTTTTTGATAATTATTGATAAACAATTAAATAAATAATGATAAAAATTAAATTAACAATTATTCGTAACAAATTAGTGAAAAGTTGAAACGATAAAAGTGAGAATATTTCCCGAAACAGAAAAAAAACCTAATAAAATGAAAATAACTAATAAATTATTTTAATGGGATCATCAATATATTTTAATTTAGGCATAGTTATTGTTAAAAGTTGCTTCAAAAATTCAAACCTAAAATCTTAGGCATTCGTTAAAATTCCCTAAATAAGCAATGTTTGTATTATAAAGTTGTAAGTAATATTTCAGGACAAAAATTTTTGTTTTTTGCTTAACGATTTCAAGATCAATTTTCCCAATGGTATATATATATATATATTCATTGCTATTTGATGGAAGATGATATCATTTTAAGGAAGGCTTATTTTATATTTCAATATGCTATCGTGAAGCTATCAGCTTACTAAAAAGAATTATTTTTTTCATAGCTACGAATAATCGGTATAATATAAAATTAAATAATTCTTTTTGGTTTATTTATATAAAAGAAAGGAAAGTAGAATATATGCAAGAAAATAAAATTTTTAATAAATATTAGCAATGTGAAATTTTGCTATAAACAAGTTGGAATTGAAATTATTAGGCTAAATTAGAAGATATTTATATAACTGTAAATTGAGTTTATAAAAAATTGTTTATTGAAATGCTATCGATAGGCTGACTGAAAGTTGGCTGGTATGATACCTTTTTTTTCTGCAACTTCACTTCCTTTTTTCTGCAATTTAAACAAATGATTTGATTGAATACAATATCTTTCCTTTTCCATTGTGATATTCTATTTTGTAGTTTTTTTTAAATGAAATAAGAGAATGCCAATAAATTACTGTAATAATTTTTTGGGTAAATATTTGTTTTTGTTTATTCCTTCTTAAAACAATCAATCAAATTAAAAAATTCTTCATTTTATTAGTGATACTTCAGAAAAAAGTACTATCACTATCAATATTTTTTCATTGTCTTTCATATATCTGTCAAATGATAAATGATAAATTCAAACAATAATGATAAATTTAAATTTTAAGCTCAATGATTGGATTAAATTTCATTTATAAATGATTTTTTTTTTTGCACAGAGTATTTGCAATAATATTATTGAAATTGATCGGATAAGCTTTCTTTCAAATTTATTAGCTTTAATGTTTTAAATGAATTTCTGATTAATACAATTTATTGAAGTTGATGTAATCCATTATTAGTAAGGAAAATCACTTCCATTTGTAAAATCAAATTTTGAAACTTAAAATTAAAAGTGACAATATTTTGTTTAACCTAAGCTTTTATTTTATTCTATTTTAAAATAACAAATTCATTCAACTTTAAAACATAAGAAATAATCTGATCAAGTGATTTTATTCATTGGATATAATGATGCATTACTGCAAATCTGAAGTTAACAGTTACTTTTCACTACTGCAAATCTGAAGTTAACAGTTATGCATTACTGCAAATCTGAAGTTAACAGTTACTTTTCATAGGGTTACTGTAGCCTATCCCATTCTTTATGAAAGTGCAAAATTCATAGTTACTGTTTATGAGCTCATTCTAGTTCATCGCAATTTTCATAAAGGTCATCTAGAAAATTACCATTAGCCAATACTTCGTGTAATCAATTCTGTAACTGCTACAATCATTGTGAAATGATTTCGCAGAACATTTTTATATATTATCCATTTAGTGATGAGCGATAAAGATAACTTTGCTTTTTTAATTTCCTTATAAGAAGCCTGAAATTGTTGCATAATATCATAGTTCTCAATCAGTGATTTTATATATGTTTCCCATTTTCAATACACTTTTCATACAAATGATTAATTAAAATTCTCAATTTTATCTAAGAATCAAATTCAATTGGAAAGTTCCACCAGAATCTGTCACTTTCGTCCTATTTTCAATATGAAATATAAAAGTAATAAACCGAATTGAATTTGAAATACAAAGGCACAATATTGGGAAATGCATAAAAGACATCCATTTGAAAACAGAATTATAGTGGCATGATATTCATTGCACAATTTGGATGTAACCGAATATCAGTTCCCGAGAGAGATTAGCTGTTTGAATACGGTGCAGCATCAGTCTCCCGAGAGAGACTAGCTATCCGGATATGGTCGATTGTCAGTCTGACGAGAGAGCTAACGATGCAATGATTATTTTAATTCACTCATTGTTCGGTTGCCGGTAAAAACATACTTTTAATATTATTCGAGAAGAATGACGAAATTTAGGAAAATTGTAGAAAAGGCAAGGAAAAGTACATTTATCAATAAATGATTGGCTATATTTATTTACAAATATTATTTTACTTTTTATTATTAATTGCATATTATTAATTATTATTAATTAAATTATTAATTAAATTAATATTTATCATTCAATTTTACTGATTTTCTCCGAATTTTTTGGAAAAAAAATATTCATTCGAAATATTTAAAATAGGTTGACATTGCTGTCTATAAATGTACAACGGTCAGTTTTTCAAAATAAACTGCTACATTTGAAGTAGCCTGAAATAGTATATTTAAAAGAACCTGAAATAGTATATGTAAAGATATCCTGTGTTAGTTTGGTTATTTTCTAGATCATACAATTAGAAAGCGGTTGCTACGCCGAAGTGCATTTTAGTACCAGTAAATGGAATCAACACTTGACGATAATGCATCTACCAATTTGCCCGCAACAACTGCACCAAGTTCTACTCGTATGCGAAAAATCATTCTCCCAAAGTTTGTAGTCTTTCAAAGAAATAATCCATTTGAAGTTTGCTTTATGATTTTGATGATAGTGCCATATAATCGATGATAGCGCTATAAATGAGGAGAACGAAGAAAGTTTCTAAAAATTTTAAATAATTTCATTGCAGGAAATTTACAAAAATAGAATACCTCAGACCAATAATACAATTAGATATTGATGACACTTTGGTTAAATTTGGTGAGAAAATACGAGGTCGATGGCTTATTAAAGTAATAAACAATATATTTCATAATTAACAATTAAATCAGACATTCGGGAAATCTCAAATATTTATCCAAACTTCAAAATTCTAATTTTCTTCTGCCGAACCTTTGTCTCATCTCAATAAAATCTAGATTTATACTATAGAAGTAAAAAATTTGGGGTAGAAGAAACAAATGACAATTATCTTTTCGAGGGATTAATTGGTAGCGGTGGATATGGAGAGATATATTATGCATTGGATTTGAAAATGAAAGGTGAATCAGTGGCTGTTAAAGTGGAACCTGTAATAAGAAAAGGGAAAGTAGCTAAACGAATGATTCTGGAGCAGAAAGTAATTCAATTACTGAGCATTTAACTTTCCGAACTTTGTAAGCATTAACTTTAAAAAGTTATTATAATGCAGCCGAAACACTTACAACATCCGGTATATATTGTAAAATATCAAAATTCTAAAATTTTAAATAACTGATTTATCAGATAATGTTACGTTTGCAAGGCCGACCACATGCACCGTTAATGTGGGGTTCCGGAACGGAATGTGGTATAAATTATATTGTGATGCAATTACTATCAGCGAATGTAGGAGATCTAAGAAAACGATGTCCCTTGCAGCGATTATCAAAGGCTACCTCAGGACGAATCATGCAACAAGTAATTTTGAAAATTAATACTTTTAATGAGTGCTTTAAACTTCACCTCTATTTCTCTCTTATTTTTTTTCCATTTGATTATCACTTTTCTTCGATTAGGAAATTCTGGATTAGAATCTGTGCATTGAGATCCTACAAATCTCTCGGTCTGAAACATCAGATAAGCTTGTTAAGTTTCAGGGAGTGACAGTAGCTCAATCAATAAACAAATAATAAATAACAATCATTATCAGAAATTAGTCAACTTCGATCTTCGCATTAAAGATTGCTACAATTAACTTTATTGTATTCTTTTATTTCAGGCTATAGCTGGCCTTCGAGACATTCATAAAATAGGATATATTCATAGAGATGTGAAACCAGCCAATATGTGTTTCGGTCTGACTGAAAAAGTAGGTCATTTGACAATATTTGAACAATAGAAACCGGTTTCTCTGAATCCTTTGCAAATGGAAATTCAAGCTTGAAAGTGCCAGTTTCAATAAATTACAAAATTGTCCATAATACTGTACATTATAAACATCAATATTTTGATTTGTTTGAAGATTTGAATTTCCAACTTCTTAAAATCGATTATCAAAACTTTTAATAATAAATAATTCGAATTAAACAAATTATCGAAAAAAATATTAACATGTAATTAAAAAATATCGAACATATTTTAATCAGAGCAATCGACGATTGATCATTGTGGATTATGGTTTGGTGAGAAGGTTTCGGCAATCGGATGGAAAACCAATAGAAAGACGAAAACGAGCTGGTTTCCGTGGAACATTACGTTATGTATCAATGCGTGTACATGATCGAATGGAGCAAGGACCATCAGATGATTTGATAGCACTTTTTTTCACGCTTATTGAAATACTTAAAGGTGAATTACCGTGGAGGAATGAGGAAAGTGATGAAAAAATGAAAAGAGCTAAAATGGAATTGGTAATTTTCATATTTCTCATTCATAGATATTAATTTTAAATGAAAACAAAATTCTAGCAAATCAAACATTTTTCTTTTCAAATAGCATCGAAAGTAATAAGTAAACTTGGAAGGCTCGAAAATTAATCTCATTTCAGATGAAAGATGATTTCGTGAAATTATCCGAAAATTTTGGCTTTAGTGTACGTGAATATGGTCGAGCAGTAATGACATTGGCTGTAGATGCTGAACCTAATTATACATTTTTAATTTCAACCATGAAGGTTGTGTCATTTGAATTTTTGTAAAACCTGAAGATTAAACAATTTATTATTTGCTTGAAAATAAGAAATTTAATTTTATAATAGATACCTTAACTATTCTGCTGTAACATTTCTTAATTAAAAATGAATAAAGCAAACAAAGCAAAACAAATAAAAATACGAAAAATAATAAAACAAAATGAAATCAAGCGGAGTAAAATAAAAAATGCAATAAACCTAATTTATCTTATCTGAAAATTAAGATATTATGAAATGAAAAAAAGGCAATTAATAATATTTTGAACTCAAAAAAAAAATGAATTTTCATGCTAACTTGAATGTTTCAGCCATAATTTTATAGAAATTAGCTGGTAATCGACATTTAAACGATCCATATGATTGGGAAAATGATTATCTGGAAGTATTAAAGGAATATAAATGATCAATTTCATTTTCATTATTAAATTTATGAATTGCACTACAGTACTTTTTTCTCTACAGCAGCAATATATCGTTGATTTGTGTATAAAGTTTATTTCATATCATTTTTGAAGCATTTAATCGTATTACTATTGTTATCTTTAGTTAATTAAACTTAATTAATTGAGCTAAATCCAACTTTCACATCAAGCAAATAATAACAAATAAGCCTAACTCATTAAGCAAGTAACGATAAAGTTATACATATCAGGCTTTCCTTTTACATCCGCATAATACTCTCAAGTTTATTAATGACCTAAAGATTTAGATCACATTTTCGATAACTGATAAATTTATTGCGAGAAATAACCGTTGTTTATTCATTGCCAAATTACGATCATTTTCATTGAAACGAAACGATTGCTGTACTTGTTATTAACTATAATGAATAATGTTACATTAAAATAAATGTTGAAAATTTTTTTGAAATCTCAGAAACGATCAAAAGTTACAATTTACAAACAAGGAAAGATCCAGCAATTTAAACTATTAAAGCATAAGAAATCATGAATGGAAAATTTCTCCTGCTTAAAAATTGAAAATTTTACCGAAATTTTTTAATACCTGTTGCGTGGGTTTATTGAACACTTTGCCTAAATCGTTAAAAAATCCCCAATTGATATTGTATTTATTGTTGATAGCAATCGGACCGAACATGTCCTCATTACCGACGCTAAGACCTATAAAGTATTATTTTATTTGTGAAATGTATTCTCTAAATAATATTTTATTTATGAAATGTATTCTCTAATAGCGATTCATATTTAAATTGGAGAACAGAAGAAAGAATTATCGTTACAAAATTTCCGTAAGCGCAAAAGATTAGTGCAACTATAAATTGATATTATTCTTTGACCTTCTAGTAAAACAAATATTTTTTCATATTGTTTGTTGAACGATTTTTTTGCATAATTTATATTGCACTATTATTAAATAGATTTCAAAGAAAACCTCTTAACGGAGCCAATGAAATGCCATCTTTTCGACCAACGGGCATGCCAAGCACATTTATTGTCCGATCACGACCAACTTCCACTTCCTCACGACGTTTATAATTATGACCAAATGATTCTAATAGTGTTAATATTGATGGCATTGCTATTGTTGACTAAATTATTTTAAATAAGTAGATTATTAAGAATATGCAGTTACCTTTTTTGTTTTATAAATTTCACTTAAGATGGGAAAAATTAGAAGGTGGACCAGATTACAACAATGACATGCATATCAGAATGGATTTCTATAAATTAGTATCAGATTGTCTAAATCAGGTACAAAAATCAATGAAGGATACTTACGTGGAATATTTCATCAAATAAGACAGATTACTAATACTTGTGCTAAAGCGCTAAAAGAAATATGAATTTATCACATGCTAATTCAGAAAAGAGCAGAATAATTGAAAAAGTTGGTATTGATTAAACAAATCGATTAATGCACGAATATAAAATCATAGGAAATTCATGAAAAAATCAAAACTGAACAGTAGATTATTTAAAAAGTTAGATAATGAATACGAAAAACTGTATTTCGCAAGTTTCCTTTTCACTGTAACAATCCATCCCAAATTTTGTCACATTTTTCGACATTAATGGATTATGAAAAGGATCAGGTAAAAGAACAAGTTTTGGAATGCGCACTTGCCATATTTTATATGGGGACAACTTAAATTTAAAAAGTTTCGGCATAATAGTTGAATATTTACGAGCAATAGGAATGATGAATAAATTCATCAGTGGGTTGAATTGATTTCAGATCGATGAATTCTAACACAGGCTTCAGAAATGATGTATCAAACGGATTGATTTGTTGTTTTATTATATATTTTGACATTTTTTGCAACCTTTGTTTGTTGGGTAAGAGTCGTACTGTTCGCTAAAGAATTGATACGAATTGCGTAGTGAGGTGTTGTAGATTCCGAAAAAAGTAAAGCATTTGTAAACATATCATTTTTCGATGGATTAGCTGTAGCAAAGGTTGTGGTCGGACTAAACGGCTGCATATCCTGAATAAATGCATATATGGGAATTCACATAAATAAATTTAAATGATTAACTCCAATCATTAGAAGCAACTTTTCAGAAACTCTGCTTCTGACAAAAATCTAAACAAAATAAACTGACATTCTTATTCCAATTAAGATTTTGGTTGGAAAATATTCAAAACGAAAGCCTATCTTAGCAAGCCGATCAAACTCATTAAGAGATTTGACAAATGGATCGAACAAACGTTGCAGCATTAGTTTTGGCTTGATATTCGATTCCAACTTCTTTGCTGGTTTAAAGAAATCAAATATTGACCGTGATGAGCTTATGGAATCCTCCCGGGGTTCTCTTCCCGCCTGAAAGAACTTTCTCCAATTTCAGCAATTTAATAGTTTGTTACATATACGACTTCATCTTCTTAAATGATTTTCATTACTAAAGTTGAAGTCTCAATTACACTTCCACAAACTACACAACAACATAATAAGTGTAAAACAATTATTGAGTAAGCAAATATTTTAATAACGTTTTATGGAAGACCCATATGATATATGGTGGTCCAATGAATTCTGAGGTAACAGTTGAATAAAAAATTATACCTTATCCGCAAATTCGAATGCTTTCGTGTCCTGTTTCACCATGTCAATAACTTTAATCCAAGGCTTCAACCACGGATAAATAATTTGATTGGTATCTATTTGATTTCTAGTATATGCTTCTAAAATTCTCCTTCAAAACTAATTGATTTCAAAGTTAAGAACAAAGTAGAATATTGATAGATAGTTTGATTATGGAGAAATAAAGCTTTTCGAAATTTATATGTTCCTGTCAATAGGTCGTAAAACGTTGCACTATAACAAACGTATTAAAAGCAGGTTTTACTTAAACTTTTTCACGTTTGAAAAAAAGGATACCTTCTAAATATTCTTCTGGTACAAACGGGAAGCAAAATACATACCTTTGCTGGAGATAATCACTTCTCTAAGTTTCTTCGCATCATCGCCTTCTGTAATTTTCCAAAACTATTGTAAGGGCATCAAAATGATTTCATTAAAACTAGGAGAGCTATCTGTTTGTTATTTGTTGTACTATATGCTGCTACTCAACTTACTAAATTGCCTAAGTGTAACATCTACCACGCCATCAGACTATTCCGCCTGATCAAGTTGGATTACTGAGTTTAAGCCATAAAACGCGTGGATGTCTTGATTGTTCATTGTTATCCCCCCTAAGTGCAAGAAAATGCTTAAGCCACAAAAATAAAAGCCACAAAAACGCACCTATCAACTATTCAGTCCAGAGAATTTATGCAAAACAAAAAACAAACCGAGAGAAATTTGTTGTGCATCAGAAGACTTAATGAGTAGCAGAGATAGAAGCAGTAAGAGTGAAGAGATAGCGGATGACATAACAAATTTGTTGCAAAATTATCGGAACCAGGAAAAATATCGGCTCTGGCATATACATTTGGGTCAACTGTATTTACAACCAACCCATCTTCATGTTAATTTGGCATATAGTAGATAATTGTGTCGCAACAAACACCATCATCAATCATTTATTCATTCAACACTATTAGACATACATATTCAAAGGAAAGCACTTCACAGCATTTAACATGCTAATTTATTTGGATTGGCAGAAAAGTTCCATTAAATGAAAAGGATTCGAAGGGAATCAGATCCATTCAATTGTCAAAATCCATGATCTTACTTCGTGAATTACCTCCCAACGGATTCATTTCCTGCATTATACTAATTAATATATTTGGCGTTATTAGTGCTTTTTCAATGAAGTAAACCACAGTGATTTTCAAACAAATAACATAAGGAATTCAATCAATAAAGCAAAAAAAAAGAAGAAATATTAACAAATTATTCTGCAGAAAAACTTATTCATCAGTAACCAAACAACTGCGTTTCTCACTTCCGGATATTCAAAAGCGTACTAATCACAATATAGTTCAGAAAGAAAATGCAATAAGCTTATTTTTTCGAACACTGGTGTCCTATTTCGCCAGATTCTACTTTTCCTTCGAAAACCTCAGCTGCAGCAAAACAAAATACAAATAAAACAATTGTCAGTCTAAAACAAAAACGAAAATAACAACGTGAATAAAGTTAAGAAATCATAAGACGTGGTGCAATTGACATCGACATCAATTCCTGGAATAACAGCTTGCAAGCATAAGGAATACGAAATGCCGACACTTGTGTTTTATTTCGGCACGCCTGTAAATGTTTCATTTATATTCCTAGCTCAAAGGCTGTTTTTATAAATGAAAGTCATTGTTCTCACATGGATTTTATAAATCGTTGCTGAGAAATATATGATATATTATTCGTTTTCAACAAAAAATATTAAAGAATCAACATGAATCAATGACTTGTATTTATAACTAGTGGAAATAAATTAAACGACGTGATCAAGATAACTGACTTCATTATCCGAGTTTCATTATTGACTGATGACCCCCTTGTTTAGTAGCTTAAATTTTCTGTATACAAAAAATCTCTACGATGAGCCACTATAAATTATAAACTGTATATGATACTTTCAAATCATAACAAACAAATCAGTTTTTTCATTTACCTTGCATTCAAATGAGTTCGTTCGCAAGTTGGCCACCACGATTAAACCGCAATTGTTGCAAATATATACATGATACGGATCAGACACTTCAAAAAGGCGTTCCCGCAAGAACTGTGCTGCGCCGTGTGAGATCTGACAATCTCGTTCCATTTCGCCGAAACGAAGGCCACCATCCCTTGAATTATTTCATTTCCTAACTCCAATACTTTTTATTTCCTTCAGAAATAGGAATATCGAAACGAATTATAGAAGTAAACAGTTAAAAATACCTAGCTCTTCCCTCCATGGGTTGTCGGTTCATCATTTGTATAGGTCCACGAGCTCTCGAATGAATTTTGTCATCCACCATATGTTTCAATCTCTGATAATAAGTTGGACCCAAGAACACCTATAAAATCTCGAAAAAAGTCCAAAAATTGTTGCATTGCTCAACAAAACTCAACAAAAACTCTAAACATATTCAGCAATAAAGAAAATTGGATCATATACTCTGTATACTCCAGAACCTGAAGCCCAAGTTCCCCGAGCGTGAAAATAACGGAGCGTTATTAGCTTCAAGTAGGAAAACCAAAAATTATTTTCTGCTCACTTGAATTGTGAGTTTTCGACCAGTATGCCCATTATACATGATTTCATTGCCACGCAAATGATAACCGTATTCTTGCAATAAATTACTAATTTTTTGAACATTCACGGTGTCGTTGAAAGGTGTTGCATCACCTATCTCACCTTTGTTCGCGGACAACTGAAAATAATTTTCAATAATCACATATATGCAAAATATTAAAATTCGGATAAAAAACTTCACCACAATCTGAAAATTTTACAAATCAATTGGTACCCCTAAAAACAACCTCTGTACGAAAAAAATTTTTTACACACTTTTCCTTGTAAACATTCGATCAAGTGTCCAATAGTCATACGAGAAGGCACTGCATGCGGATTTATAATGATGTCTGGAGTTATACCTTCATTTGTAAAAGGCATATCTTCCTGAAGATTTCTGTATTCATTTAAGTTAAGTAAATATCAAAGCAGTTATACTTGTCAAAAGTCTTACGGTGCAATCTTTAGCATCCCTGCTCCTCATTATAAATTGGGTTAAAGAAGTTGTACTGTAAAGCAACAGAAAAAGATCACTGACCTGCCTGTACATCATACCCATTGTACCTTTTTGACCATGCCTCGATGCAAACTTATCACCAATTTGTGGCAAACGTACCGATCGTACGCGAATTTTGACAAACTTGTTACCATCCGTGTTCAGGGTCAACATCACCTAATTCATCACAGATACAGATTTTAAAATACAAAAAACTGAGAATGTACAAACAAAGCGTATTTAATTCCCAGCATGAAAAGATACTAAAAAATTCTGAGCATTACTTGATCAACAATGCCTGTTTCGCTGCTTCGCAGAAATGTACTAGCATCTTTCTTCGTATATCGTTTAACTGTTGCATCCAAATCATCTTCCTAAGCAACGCTGATGATGGGACATAGTAGAAACAAGAAAATTTCCTTCACAAAATAAAGATCTTTAATAATCAGTTAAAAATGATGAAAAAGTGAAAAAATACAGTGTCTGGTAGTGAGATTGTCTTTCCAATAATGACGTCATCACCCGAGACACGCATCCCAGGCGAAATTATACCGTCTTCATCTAGCTTATCATAAAGTGAATGTCGCATACCCGAACATTTATCCCTAAATATTGCATTATTTTAAAGAATGATGTTTTGGACGGATAGTTCAAAAATCACAAAGGAAGTACCTTGTAGGCTTTTCAATCAATTCTTCATTTGCATTGTCTAGATTAGCTTCTTGATCACGATATGAACGGTAAAAGACCTAAAAAAATTTATTTATTACTGTCCTACTATTTCCGAAACTCAGTTATTTCAGTTCTATAAATTCGAAATCACCGTTAGATAAAGTCTATTAAAAAGACGACCAAAAAAAAAAATGACGCTAACCGATCTAAAAAGACCTCTATCAATACCAGATTGATTCATAATAATCGAATCTTCTTGATTGTAACCAGTATAAGACAAAATGGCGACAATAGCATTAATTCCAGCAGGTAGCTCATTGAATCTGAAAATGTATTTTTCTAAGCATTTTTCGAATGCAACTTCACATTTTTCCAAGAATTTTGAAAATACTGTAAATGTCGTACCTGAGATACTCCATAGATCTAGTTGTAACCAGAGGTTTCTGAGGATAATACAACACATGTGCAAGCGTGTCCATTCTAACATGAAAATTGGTGGTGTAGACACCCATAGCTTGTTTACCCATCGCGCTCTAAAAAAAGGTTTTATAAGAATACCGCAACTTCGAGGAATCTGAATATTTACTAAAGCATACTTGATATGTGTTTCGTGGACTTTGGTTGTGATCCGGAAAAGGTATGATTGAAGCACAAACACCTAAAATCATTGCCGGATGAATCTCACAATGTGTGTAAGTATCACAGTATCCTCCAGCTTTCAAATCCTCCGGCATCATTGCAAGCATTACGGTCTCTGTAAAACGACGAAGCAAAATAAAAATATATTGTCTAATTGATCGGCAAAGTTGCACAAAAGTAGCGATATTTGATTATAACAGATCTAATCTCCGCAGTAAAAAAAACCGAAAAAAATTTTTTCTTATTCCACACTTTATCAATTGACTTGTAGGTCATGCAGGAATACGATAACATATATATAGGGAAGATATTCAACATGCTCGTACCTTCCTCCATAGCATCAATAAGCTCGACTACGCCACCCGCAACAAGTTCTGACCAAGTATAACTGTTATCCTTCAGCTGATCAATATGCTTTCTTTTCAGAGCTAACTTCTGATTTTCAACAATCAACAAAGGCCTACAGACACGTCCAGCATCTGTGTAAATGCGAATTTCCCGATCCCTGATATCTCGCACCATAGATACCTACAATTATCATTCCTTCAAATTCCAAAAAATATCAAGAAAACTGAAAAAAAAAACCAATTTAGTTCTCAAGAAAATCATTCCATGTGATTATATTATCAGAATAAGTACTTCTGAAACAATGATGTCCATTTCTCTTCGTAGTTTTTTCAACGTGGTCATCAGTTGCTCGGGATCTCTATGAATACCAACCCAAGCACCATTAACAAAAATCTTTGTCGCATCAGCAATCGCTGTCGGTGCTACTTCTGCAGTATGTTTATTCTTAACAGCACATCCAAAATGAAAAAATCATAAAGTTATAACGTATGATAGAAGTCACAATCTAAATTTTTACTAGGATTTGTTCATTTTTCAAGGAGTAAACCCACTAACCTTCAAGATTTTCCATAGACCATTCTTCCAAAAATTCAAGAATTGGCTCTGGCAAACTACCGACAGAAATATATGCCATAAGTGCTAGATTCTTCACCAAGCCAACAGCTTGGCCTTCAGGAGTTTCGGCTGGGCACACCATACCCCATTGTGTATTATGTAGCTGACGAGGTTTTGCCAATTTCCCTTCTCGTCCAATTGGTGAATTGCAACGACGTAAATGTGACAGCGTTGCAGTATATGTTAAACGATTTAGTACCTAAAATAATTCCATAATTCATAATACATCACGTTGAAATTAGGACCACAAATTAAAAGAAAGCTATTCACTGAAGTCAAATAACTAATTTTTTTAGCAAAATTTCACTTTCATGCCAATGAATGAATAGAACAGTTTATAAAAATCAAAATGAAGCTGCACCTGGCTGACACCGGCTCTTGATTGATGTGCCTTTTTTTGGTCTCCCCAATTACCTGTTGCTAAAGAATATGCAAGGCCCCGTGTAATAAGTGGTGTTTTAACGCACAAATCTAACATGAAATCACCATTCTTATTGATGTATTTCTGTGCCGTTAAGCGTACCTTAAAAAATAAAAATAAGTATAGTTTTAACAAATGGTGGGAAATACTTTAAATTTTTTGGTCGATGAGCACTCATTTTAAAAGCTAGCCAATAAAGCCTAGTTTGACTAAAAAATTTATGAAAATTCACTTCTTTCAGAAGGTTCCTAAAAAGTGCACGGAAAAGAAATGCTAGCAAAGGTCCAGCAAGATCCAGTCGCTTGTTTCCCATATGATCACGATCATCCAGTTCGCGACGCCCAAGAGCCGCCAATAATAGCCTGTGGACCATATAGCCCAAGAAATACTGCAAAGTAATACCTTTTTATTTTAATCCTTCACTTATTGTAACGTTGAGAAAAAACACTGTTCCCCATGCTTATCAGCACTAAGTTTCCAAAAATTTCTATAAAATCACAGCTGTAAACACAGAAAATTTACAGAACAATATCTGTAAAAAATAATACGTGTATATGAAAAGTATGCTGTTATCAGACTTGTCGCTATAATTTCATTCACATCAGCACCTACTTTGATCATGATTCTTTTGAATAATGCCTTACTCGTCCGTATATTAAAAAAATTCCCCAATACAAAAATAACAAAATTTATTGAAAATAACAACGTTGGTGAATATCGTTCAGCTAAAGAAAAAACTGTTAATATAACATACCGCTTTCTTCGTTTCGCAAAAATCCGATATGCCAACATGCGGGAGCATTTCCTTTTGTAATATTTCTCTGGCATATTTAATACGTTGCTCCTTTGTTACACCTGGTTTGGCACCACGTGCACCAATGAAATTAAGCGCAACGTTTTGTTCCTGCAAGTCTAACAGTGTAAACTTGGAACCAAAGGAAATCAAAAAAGATAGTTGTGCAGAAAAATAATTCCTATAAGATGAACCAGTTCATTTAATTCCACAGTTCCTATTTTTTAGTAGTGACTTCATAGTCTGTTGCTTCTTTAACAAAAGATTTCTTTTTGTAAACAACAGACTATGAAGTCATCACTGTCAAAAAAATCAGGATAATGGAACACTAAATAAGCAAACAAATCATTTTTAATCAAACTACTATCAAAAATGTCAATTAAAGCATACCTGAATTACAAAAGCTTCATCAAGACTTGGCTTTACCATCTCCATCATTTCTGGATCTTCGAAATCGTAAATTATGTGCTCCAATATGTCATGATCCGAGACAAAACCTAACGCGCGAAACACGATCATCACAGGTATTTCCTGAAGGAAATTTGTTAATAGTATTTAAATTCTTATCAGTTATTTAATTTGACTATAAAACTTCAAATTATTAAAAAGTTTTAGAAGGAATAAAATGAAGGAATCTGTTTAAAATTTTTAAAAATTATTAAAAAGTTTTTTTTTAGAAAAATAAAAAAAGGAACCTGCTTGATATATGGTAAAATGGAAATAATTTTTGGCCCCATAGCAGATTTCTTGTTACCTCCACCACCTCGAGGTAACATGTTAACCCATAGAGTTGACGTTGGACGGCTAAAAACATTTCGAATTAACAAACATCTCGTGAAACTAAACTCAACCTTAAAGCAGATATAAACAGCGAAAATTTCCAAGAATCTAGTGTATCATTCCTGAATATTATCGAGAGAACAGACTAAATCTCAGTTATCTAGTATCCTATTTATCCCACTCAATAGTTAATTACAAGTTGCAGTAGAATATTATCACTAATAAATTTCGGCATGCTTAAAAAGAATTGTTTCAATACTTTACCTTGAATTTTCAAGACAGGAACGACACTCAGTTTTATATGTATACTTCCCATCTTTCACAGAAAAAACATAAACCGTATTCGTGGCCATTTTTTCCTGAGCAATCAGTACCTGAAAATTAAAATTTTATGGAAGATTCGAATTGTTAGTCAAGCTGCAGAAAATTGATGTTTATAGAAATCATTTACGTTAAACTACCTTTTCAGAGCCATTAATGATGAAGTAGCCACCAGGGTCCAAAGGACACTCGTTTAGCTCGGATAAGTCACGATCAGACATGTTCGCTAACATGCAATATGAAGATCTAAATCAAATACAATAGAATTATGATTTATTAAAAATGTGATAATAAACAGCCATGTTTATCTTTTTTTCTATATAAAAATGTTTTATCTTTGTTAACCGTTATTTAAATTGAAATAATGAAAAAAGCAGAAATCAAGTTGAAAACAGACCTGAGCATGATTGGAATTTTTCCGACAAATACTTTTTCATATTTTGTTTCCTTCGGTTCTTCACCACTTCGTGTCATTGTCTTTGTAATGTCAATATAAAGAGGAGAGGAATACGTCAAATTTCGTAAACGTGCCTTAAAATCATTTAAAATTAATCATTCCACAACTACAAACATGTAAGAGAACTTAAATCGAGGCCGATGTCATGCTAACCTTTCAACCAAATAATTTTACCATTTTTATCATATCCATAAACAAATAATTGTCCAGAAAGTGTGTATGCAAAAAAAAATCATGTCTTTGAGAGTAGGAAACCTCGTTTGGCATCATGGGGGTTGGAGCACCGTCCTTTTCCCAATGAGTTGGCTTTGATAGATAGATCTGATCGAATTTTAGTGCAAACTTGATAGGATTCTCGACATCACCTACAAAAGTACATAACTGCTGTCAGTAATAATCCAAAAAATTTCGTGAGCAAATACCATTGATAAGTAATTACCCAAAAAATAATTACCCGAAAAATGCTGAACTTCGGATTGAAGCTCAACAGGCGGTGAATCTTCGACAATTCGCTGGACATTCATCTGAATGAATTCATCGAAACTATCTAACTGCTGTCTTACAAGGCCCTTTTCGTCAAAATATGCCGAAATCACAACCCAGCAAGCTTCCTGAATTAAATACATATAATTGAGGATTCATTACTGTTACAATGAAAGAAATGATATATGACATACCTGCCACTGCTCTGATGAAATCTCTTCATCCTCCTCGAAGGGGACTTCCTCGATTTCCTCATCTTCCTCATACATTGTCCCTAAAACTGGAAAATCAAGGAGAGAAATATTGTAATAGACACTATGGACGAATTGGGTAATATCCAGCGTAAGGGCTTTCCTTGTACCAAATGGTAGCATGAATCCTAATTAAAGCAATGCGTCCTCATGTATCAATTTCCACAGCAACTGGAACAAAACAATGGCGAGAGAATAAACAAGCCTTTCTAGCAATTACGTCCTCTTAACTTTAAGCTTCTATACAATCTATATATTTTCAGCAAAGGAATCAACACACGAACAATCACCATTGAATAATGAACCAAGCACACAGTGTAAACTTTCTTTAAAAAAACCATTTATGAGCATATCAGTCGATTAACCACTGCCGGGATGCCAGTCTCTTTCACCTGCGCAATAATTATCAAAGAATGCACCACAAACTTTTTAACATCTTAGTTCAGTACCAATTTGGAATAAATCGTTCCATTTCCCTGAGAACCTTATTCTTGTCTGCTCACTCCCCGAATTTCCTACTCTCGAAATCCCCGTTAGATTCTCAATTTCCTCCTCTCAAAATCCGTCACATTACTACTTTTACTTCTGATATTTCAAAGCCCACCAACCTTGTCATGGTAAAAAATTGTTGCCAGGCTACTCTTTTCGGTTGTCTTTACACTTTCTCACCTGTCTCGGGATGAAAAAAAGATTCCCGAAAGTGTCTGGGATTCGCGGTAAGTTTAGAGAGTGACTGCTTCTGCTTCTACCGGGATTAAAATCTATGCTGTAGAGTCTCCGGAATTTTCTCTTTAAATACCTCACACAGCACTCAATTTTATATGGCTTTCTTTATGAGAATATCTGGAAAAATCAAATGATGTCTGTGTTAAAATTAGTGAACTCAACAACCAAGAATGAGAAAGTTAATCGACTGATCACTAGCAAAAGAAAGGGGGCAAAAGGAGAAGGGAGGAAGAGGTGAACGGACACAAGTTAATCCATTACTAAAATCATAATCGACAGTAGTAAACAATATCTTATCCAACTCACTTTCGAATATCTACACTTCTCTGAGTTGTTTCCATTGCATGTAATAGTATTTTCGTGATAATATAACTATTATTAATCTAATTATAACTTCAATTAGAATTCAATCAATTCACAGTTGGTATATTAGACTGTCAATGTAGAATGAAGGTCAAGATAAGACTCACCACAATCCTACAAATATGTCCTTTTTTTTAAAGGTAATGACAGGAACATAATTTCCGTTACATTATGACAAAGCTTATTAAATCCTTGAAGATTTTAAGTAAAAGCTCTACACTGCCACATATATATGTATAATATGAACATATGACATTTTCCCAGAAATTGGTATCCATACTGGACCTTCTACTTCAGACTTGGCATAAAGTAGAGTTGAAATCTCAGAAACCACTTCCCCACTTTATTCCCACCCATCATTGACACCTGCATCGCCCCATGCAACCATGAATGTTTATCAGCCTTTCTGGTTTGCAACAGCGTCAGACCGGCATTTCATGGCTGCGGACAGCAATAGATATAAGTGAAGCGCTCAATAGTCAAATTCCACTTTTTCTATGTTTTTGCTGATTAGAGATAAATTTGATTGTATGCTCCGACCTATGTTTTTTCCATTTATCATTATTTCTGCAGATATTAAAACTATATTATGCTCGTGCATAACAAATGTTTGGGAAGCTTTTTCGGTTCCTTTGGAAAGTAACTTGTGAGATTTTTCTGGAGTCTATCACTCTTGACACACTCATATATTACATCTCCTAATCTCTATACGTGCGTATATTCTATTTCTCTTGTTATTTCACTTATTAATGTTGGAACGAAATAGCGCCCCTTATGAAATCAAAACGTTTTGTTTGTTAGTTCTGCACCTACCAGTTATTTGAAATTGTTTGAAGTTGAATTATAATTCCTGACTTGAGCTTAAATCACTTGCTAAGATCAGTAATGATTAGGTTACTTTCAGGTGTTATGTTAGAATCTGAACAGCAGCAACAGCTAACTGACAATAGGTCATTGGTAGGATGTCATCAAAGTACCCCTGTAACGGGACAGCAGCAACAACTAACCTTTTTAGTGACAACTCAGCAGCCGCTACCCTCTGTTGGTCATGTAATTGGACAACAACAATCAGTTCAGAACCAAAGCTGTTACATGTCAACTGGACAGATGACAAGTGCCCTGAACTGTGTACCATCGCCTGTACCTTCAAGAACAACAACCTCCACACCGCATACTCATTCTTCGGCAGTTTCCTCCCCATCTCCTCTTTCCGTCCAATCCACTAGTGGAGGCCAGTGTTCGGTACAGCTGCGAGGCACTGCTTCATGTCCGCCTCAACCCTTAAACCCATCTCCGCTGTCATCAACTCGAGTTAATGCACTTTCACCGTTGCAAACTTCTTCAAATGCAACTGCTACAGTTCCTCATTTTCATCGACAACATTCCGTGTCATTCACACCAGATGGCAGTTCACGTGCGGAACATCTTCGATCCGCAACGAGTAGGAATTTCGATGGAGAATACGATAATACCCATCAGCAACAGCCGATCATGTGCGATGCTTCATCACAACAAATGCATCATACTTTACAGCTGCAGCAAGCTCGTCAACAGCATGTTTTGCAATCTTCTCGCATACAGCAACACCAACAGCAGCTGCAACAAAAATGCTTGAAACAGCCGACAACATTGAATCAGCAAGGACAGCATCAGAATCTCCAACTGCAGCAGCAACACTGTCAGCAACAGCAAGTACTACAGCAACAACACTGCCAACAACCTCAAATACTGCAACAACAACAGCTTCAGGTGCTGCAACAACCACAACAACAAAATTTCCCACATCAATCGCAAATAATTCAGCAGAAACAGCAAGTACAAGCGCAGCAAGTGCAACAGTCGCAGCAGTTGCAGATGCAATCACAGCATGGATATGTACAATTTCCACAGCAGAAACAATTAAAAAAACATTCCACACAACAACGTGATGATGATGACGACGAGGAAGAAGATGTACAGCAACGACCATCGACTGCAAAAGAAGAATACAGAGAACTGAAGCATCGGTTCAAATTCCTCGTTTATGTAAGTTCTTAAAGTGAATACTTTTGGAGAGTTCGTGGAAACAAGTTGTGATTTACAGTTTAACATACAAAGAGTAAGATAGTTGTAGTTTAGTGCATTACCTTGAAAGTTAGTTTTAAAAGCTGAGAGCTCTAAAGATGTGGTGAATACGTTGCGTATTAAAAATAATCTGACTTCATTCTCAAAATCTGCTGCTTTTGTTTATTACATTATTAGATGTTAATCATAGATCTGCATATTTCATAGATCGAACTATTTCAGGAGAATGAATGTTATCAGGAAGAGCTGCGAAACTTGCAAAGGAAGTTGTTAAAACTCTCACGAGACAAAAATTTTTTGTTAGATCGTCTGCTACTCTACGAGAAATTGAGTGACTCATCGGATGAATCGGATTCGTCTGTAAAAACTGTCGAGGAAAAAGCGCCACCCAAAAAGTAATCTGTTGTGACTGAAATGCTAAGCATAGTATGTAGCATAAAATTACTTATAAAAAGTATTATACAGCAGAAAATATGCTATTTGATACGATCCCAGTCTGCTCAGTTCTTGATTTAAGAAGGAAAGAGCAGAAGTTGGTAAGCAGTTCTTCATTTTTCTTTCTTTGCATAATATTCGTTTTATTAAAAGTTATTTTTCTTATTTTGTAAGATCCGACCTCTTAACTTCCATATTTTCAGGAAATCTCGCCCTCCTGCTTCAAGGCGTCGTTCAACGAATGTTAGATCTAAAGGAGCAAGTACCAGTTGTATAGATTCTGATACAACAAAGATATCATTAACAGAACAGCAACAACAACAGATGCAAAAGCAACTATTGCAGCAACCACCAGAACAGCAACGACCACCAATGCAAGCTACAGGTTCTGATTTTATTTAAAATTATTGTCTTAGCTTTGAACTTTTTGTGTCATTAAGTAAATGGGAAACCTTTCAATCCGAAGTTTTTGATTACTTTAGAAACAATTACTAGCACCGGTGTTCCGGTCTGTTCTGCTTCGGAAATGAGCGCCAGAGAACAACGTGCCACTGGTTCGGTTCCAGTGTGTTGTTCGTCAGAACGGAGTATTAAAAAAGAAACTCTGATCAGCACTCCTACAACTGAAGACGCGGTATTTGAAGAAAATCGAAGTGGTCAGTTCTCGTTATCTGCTTTTACTTTTGCTTCACCTCGATGATATGTATTTTAAGTGCATCCATACTACCGGTCTCATTGAATTTCTCTGAAAATCTTGTGATTGCATGTGGTTCAGTGTTGTTGCTTGCATATATTCGAATATGAAGAAATCAAATAAGAACGGTTTAACGGTTTTTTAAAAAATTTAGTTAGTGAAACAAGTGTAGGAATTGCACTTTGGTCTCGCATTGTTTTTAGCGAAATTGCAAATTCTGTGATATCTCTTTAGAACTATTCTCATTTGTGATAATGAATTTAGCAAGAACTTCTACTATTTCTCAGCTTCTGTTATCTTTAGCAATGCAATTCAAAAATTTCTAAAAAGGTTTCAGGACCATGGGCCAAATTTAAGTTTCAATAAGTTTTTATTGCTTTGTTTTCAGGATAGGATTTTGACTCAGAACGGGTCGATCTTGATTCTTATTTGTTTCATATTGTGTGTATTCATGGAACATAAAGATTCAAATATTCTTTGATGTTAATGCACATGTAATGTTGGTGTACAATATACAGGAACTTAATTTTTATGTGGTTCAATTGCAAGAATTTAATACGCTTAATTCGTTCAGAAATTACTTCCTAGGAGTTAAAACATCAGATGCGTTTTGATAGATTAATAATTTGGGGAAGTTTTCATGATGACGACATTTGCTGATCAATGTAGCGACACCTTTTTGCAGGTATGATACTCTTTACAGGTATTCGTGAATTATATCGTTTTCATAATTGGTTAAGAATACTGCTTCAATGAGTAAAGCATCTTCCATCGTTAAAGCGACGCCATCGGGAGGATCAATAAAGTGCGGTAGTCTCATGTCTTGGCTCAAGCGGGAAGAAATTTCCTTGGAAAAGGAAACTGCAGCAAATGTTTCATTTGTTCAAAAGAAAGATATTTTAGGTTTGTATAAACATTGGTTTTAATTTTGCGATGATTTTCATATTTTATTACAGCAGTTATGTTTCTGGGTGCTGCAAGCCATAGGTATTTTTTCTAATTTTAAAAAACGAACAAAACTGAAAATTATTCAGAAGCGGGAAAAGGAGATGTCGCACCAACGCCACAAGGATCAGTAGAATATCTAAAAAGTCTGGTTGAAGATATTAGTTGGCGGAGAGCGCTTTTGATTGAGTTTCGGAAAGAATATATGGATAGGATTGTTAAATTTTTGCAAACGGAAAAAGAAAAGGTGTTCTTCAAATGATGGTTGTTGCAGCGAACTTTCATTTCATTCATTTAAAGGTTTTACAAGTTGAACAGAAGCTAAATTTAGAATTGTTCCGTACAGTTCCTCACTTAAAACTTTTATTTTTGAATCATCTACATTCAGGGGGTGAAGATTTTTCCACCGCAACACCAAATTTTCAATGCTTTTAACCTTACTCCGCTCCAACGAATTCGCGTTGTACTTATAGGTCAAGATCCCTACCACGGTGAAAACCAGGTATTTTTTCCGCACAATTTCGAATTTAGCCATGCTAATTTAAACCATGCAAATTAAGTAGAATTTCAGGCACATGGGCTATGTTTCTCAGTTTGCAAAGGTGTTAGACCTCCACCTTCACTTATAAATATCTACAAAGTTAGTTATTTGAAATTCATGGAATTTTTGCTGCAACTCTAATCATGTGTACTTTATTTACGATATTTAAGGAATTGAAGACGGATATACCAAATTTCAAAATCCCCGACCATGGTTGTCTCGAGTCTTGGGCTTGCCAGGGTGTCTTTATGTTGAACGCCACACTTACTGTTGAGTAAGTAATCTTAATTATAAGGACGTAGTATTTGAAGTCTACAGTCTCCTCCCATCCATTTAAATATGCTATTATGTCAGATTTTTATAAGTTCTTAATTTTTTTATATTCATTGACAATTAATTGATGGGGGAATCAAACGGAAAATCTTGCAATTGATACTGCAGTCATTCGTTTGGGAAGCTTATGTAATGCCTGTTAAGCAAACAACGCAGACAATTCAGGCAGACAATCAGCAAAGTAATTATATTGTTTCGATGTTCCTGGTGATGGAATGTATAAATTTTGACATACATATAGGATGCATTTTTATATCTAAATTGTTATTTTATTTGTTCTGATTATTTAACTATAAAAATGTTTAGAGCTCATCGACCAAATTCGCATAATCATATCGGATGGCAAAAGTTCACTGATGAAGTAATTCGCATCATTTCACGTGACTGTAAAGGAATCGTTTTTTTGCTTTGGGGAGGATTCGCTCACAAAAAAGAATATATAATTGACAAAAAAAAGCATATTATTATCAAGGTAATGATTTTTCAATCGTGTTTCTTTAAAATATATTAAATTGGTGAGGCTTGGAGACAAATAGTTGTAAAATCCATAAATTTTTGCAGACTGCGCATCCATCTCCATTAAGTGCACGCATGTTTTTCGGTTGCAAATGCTTTTCGAAAACCAATGAAGCGCTGATAAAACTTGGACGACCGGCTATCGATTGGGGCGCATTCTGAAGTTTTTTTGGCAGGTGATTAAAATTTTAATGCGATGCCTTCATAACTTGTTATATATTACTCAATTTTTTGTTAAGTTTTCAAAATTGTTTTTTGCTGCTGTGTGGATTTTGTACTTACAGCTTTATTCCTCAAGCTTATAAGCTTGCGTCACATTATGCTCATCTTAACTTTTGCAGGAGACGTTTTAATCCAACTTCTTTAAAGCAGGATATTCGTTTCCTAATCCTGCTTTTACTATCGTTTCCTAATCCTGCTTTTCCTATTATGTTTTTCTAAATTTAGAATCTCATTTCATGAAGAAATCTCATATCGAGCTTTTTTGTGCTGCTCATTATTTCCTATAAAATATCTTTGTTCGCAGTACAGTTTTATACCTCTTGCAGTTTGGAATTCAGAAAAATCATTTGTTATTACACTAACATATTTCGAAGTTGTTCTCCAGGAAATCTGCAATGATACTTCCCAGATAGTGATATACATTGTATCAGATTTCGTACCTTTTCAAGTTTTAATGGAAGGTTCTTGAGGGTTTTCCGGGAACAGTTCATCACCGCAAATGATTCAAGAATCTGTAGCAGGCTCAGAAGGCAACAAAAAAAATCGAGCCGCATTGCTCTCCTCATGAATCTCTTTTGAATATATTACTAACTGCTGCAGTTCCTTTATTTTTCTGGAAAGTGATTTTTTTATCAAACTTTCTGCAGTTGCTTCCGTTGGATTTAACGATTGATGAGCTTGGCTCACAGGAATATTAATTGCTATTAGTGGCAATGTACTTCATCCACTACCATACACTCTTGATAATTTCCATTCGAACAACACAGCATTGAGGATGATTTATTCTTTCCGCAGACTGTCCATACCATGTGCATTAAAAATGCAGTATAGTTGGAAGCGAGCGTATTTGGCGACATATATATATTATATATTATATACACGGACATGCACACAGGAGAAGATTGTGGATATCATGATTAGAGATATGTTTGAAATGAGGGAAGGCTAGAGCATTTTTTGAACACGACTTTCTTGATGAATAATCATATGGTTGTGATTAGAATGACAGTCGTATTCAATGTTGCGGCATATAGAAATCTAAATCCCTCATATGAGCATTTGATTATTGCTCTATCGGACAGAAAAATAGGCTGAAGTCGCTCCTGGTGCACCGCCAGCTCCACCCGATGGTGAAAAGTATGCCGATACGCCTGGGCTCGTAGCACCTCCTCTGCTGTCAGCACCACCACCTGTTGGCTTAGCACCACCGCCACCACCAACACCAAAGTAAGCAGAGGTGTAGCCACCACCGCCACCTGTAAATATAGAAAACTTCACTGGTCTCGGATTTAAATTATTTCATAAAAAAGTTTTTTAGACAGGAAATTTTTAGAATTTGAGCTCAGCTGTTAAAATTGGCAGATAAAAAATATAAGTGCAAAAAATTGTCGAGTTCGGTATGAAAGGAACAAAGATAAAAACCTCCACCAACGCCGAAATAAGCGGATGTGGCTCCACCTCCACCTGGCGATGTTGGCGAGTATCCTCCTCCTCCTACTGGTGCTGCTGAAATCTTTCCATTCTTAAACATGTACTTTTTTTTAGAGCACTTGTTAATATATCATTTCAAATAAGCATGGAACTTCATTTTTATGAAATAAAATTATCTGAACCATCAAAAGCTTTCAAAACAATCAAATTAAAGTTGGTTTGTTTGGTGTATGTTACCTGGCGAACCACTTGGCGCTCCAATAGCTGTTTTTGTGAAATCTGGAACCGGAGACCCGATGGCAGTTTTTGTTGGGTCTACGGCACCAATAGCTGTTCTAGTGGGATCCACAGCACCAATAGCAGTTCGAGTCGGATCAACAGCGCCGATAGCAGTTCGAGTCGGATCAACAGCGCCGATAGCAGTTCGAGTCGGATCAACAGCGCCGATAGCAGTTCGAGTCGGGTCCACAGCACCGATAGCAGTTTTTGTTGGATCAACAGAACCAATAGCAGTTCGAGTCGGATCCACAGCACCGATAGCAGTTTTCGTTGGATCAACAGCGCCAATAGCAGTTCGAGTCGGATCAACAGCACCGATAGCTGTTCGAGTCGGATCAACAGCACCGATAGCTGTTCGAGTCGGATCAACAGCGCCGATAGCTGTTCGAGTTGGATCAACAGCGCCGATAGCAGTTCGAGTCGGATCCACAGCACCGATAGCAGTTTTCGTTGGATCAACAGCGCCAATAGCAGTTCGAGTCGGATCAACAGCGCCGATAGCTGTTTTCGTAGGATCTATGACACCAACTGCAAAAATTAAACAGAATTGCTCGAAGAACTATTTACAAATAATTTCAACAAAGATTTTCCGTCCTTCACATCTAAACATGCAATTTAAGTATATGTTCAAAAAACACCATCAAACAGTTTTTGGTTTGAAAAAATTTACATATGGAACTTTCAGCTTAGATAAATGGAATTCATTTGTGTTAAAGTTTCATTTTTATCCGCATTTCATGCTTAGTTATTAGCTTATTAGTAATATAACTTCAATACCAGACAGTATAATATCCGTAGTTAAACAAAGAAAAACAACTGGTATTTCGACAATCTTATTTTCATAACGTTCTGAATGGTCTGATTTTTAACTAATCTATATGATTTCGATTATCAATATAAGCTGAAAGCCGTTTTTAGAATTTTTATAAGTTTCGAAAACTTAGTTTGCGCAACTCAAATTGAATACTTCAGGGAGCAGTAAGCACATTATTGGTTTCTTCCTTATTTATGACACTATTTCTTCCAAGAAAAAATTTATTTCAAAATCAAGATCAAAAATCAGTATTTTAATTTGAATTTTCCTCAGCATTTTTTACTTTCTCAAAAAATATCGGCATTTTACTTTCCAGTTCTGACAGAGAAAATTACCTGCAGGTGCGCCTGGAACTCTTCCTCCCAAACCTCCTGGGGCAGTCGGTGAAAAATACGCAGAAACACATCCAACTCCACCTCCCCCTGCTCCTGGTGCAGCGAAATAAGCGGACGTTGTACCACCAGCACCACCGCTTTCAGGACCTATGCCACCACCACCACCGCCACTAGGTTTTGCTCCCGGTGCTGCGAAGTATGCAGATACCGTCCCCGGTGCAGCACCACCACCACCACCTGGTGCACTGAAATACTGCGACGTCATCTCCCTTTTGGCCACGCCGCGCGTCAGTTATAAGAATGCAAACAATAGTCTAAGCAATTAAAATTCGAATTTTAAATTATACTTCACTCCAGAACATAGATATAAATTCATTAAATTCAAGACATATTACTATAAAATATGTAAATGTCGAATTTGCCAATTGGTAATAGTAAGGTTGTTACAGTAGCCATTATCATGTAATGATTGTACTATAAAATGGTAAAAATGTTTATTTCATTTATATTTACATTTAACAAAAAACGCATAGCGTTTATTCATGACTTTAGTTTCGGAAATAAATGAAATGACGGAAATAACTTATCTTTACAAAAACAATAAATTCCTTCTAAGCAATCGCATATCATAGATAGCCGAATTAAGAAGTGAGAAAAATAAATCAGTAATCTTTAATACAGTGTGAAGCAAAAATGATACATGTATGATGTACTTTTTCAATACATTTTTTATCATTAATGCCTTATCCTTGTCAACATTCTCGCAAGGTATATAATATATGCATAAGAATTATATTAAATTTCGCCATCACTGAAAATTTTCCTTGACATCATTTTTCGTATTGGTTGCCATTGCATCGGATTTGCCATTCTTGGATTGCATAATGGCCTAGGAAGCAATAAATTTAGAAAAGTAAAAAAACTTTACGCTCCTAGTTAACCGATACCTTGCGTTTATGCAAGGTTAACTAGGAGTGAATATTTTTGAATACCGATTCACTCAAAAAGCTGCGCTTAAATTATGAAAAGAATTAGTAACCAAGGAAAAAAACTAGCAACCAACTTGTAAGTAGAAGAAAGCGCATTTAGCTGCGACAATTCCACTTCAGAATTAAAACGTTGAGATGATTGTATTGCACCCGACAAACTACTGCGAGTCATGTTTTTATTCATTCTCCGTGTTTCCTTCAGAAAGTTATGGATATAAGCCTGAGCAGCTTCGCATTCTTTCACATTTTGGCCAATTATTTCTACAGGAAATTCACCGCCTTGCTTTGCTTCTGTGTGCAACTACAATCAGTCATCATATCGGTGGATTATGTATTAATTATGTATCATGAATGATTCCATTTTTTTAAATAGTTTCAGTACGAAGTGTCCTAATTGTCGCATTGATAAAAAAGAAGAAACTTCATCAGGAGTTGATAGATATTAAACAAGGTTCCAAGAAAATTTTTCTTAATTTTATAAAATACAAAACCGAAATGAAGCAGTTTGTGCGTTCTTCAATTCTTTTTTTATTTAATCCTCGAGTGCCAATTAGACGTGAAGCTTCAGAATCAGGCACGCTAAAAGTCAAGCTTTTACTTGTCGGACCATGTAGTACGGCTTCGCATTCATCCACTGGAAAGAATGCTAAAACTACTTGGTCAATGAATTCATTTCAAATCCAAAGTAACATTTCAAAAGAATAAGAAATATACATGTACGACAAGAAACTTCCGGAATTGATCGTGATATACGCGAACCACAGCAAATAGTTACTGGAGTTGGCCACTTATGAATTTTTCCAACATGACTTTCAATTAGTTCCATCAGTGCTGCTTTTGCAGCTAATGCGTTGGGGAGCTGTAATGATAAATTAGCTCGTTAAAATCGTTTAGGCTTGCATCTTAATGTTCTCCATGCTCTCTAGATATTTTTGTACATCGAACTTAATAGCACTACTTCTGCATGACCTTTACTAACCGTTCTGGCCAATGGAAATCATATGTTTATGGTGTTGAATTTAATGACAAGATTTATATAAAGCTTGAAGCAATGTAAATATGGAAATCTAAGACAAATTTTTTAAAACATACGTCTTTCGTGATTATATCAATCTTAGTATAACCAGCTGCATCAGTATCCCTAAAATGTGGTTCAACGACACACCGGGATGAACGTTCCAATGCATTTACACTTCGCTTATCGTTTGAAAATATAAACTGCGCAATTGCACTCGGAATATGCATGAGAAGAACGCAAGGTTCTTCATTAAAACCTTGCAAAGCAGTGTCTAAAAAAATGTTATAGAACTTCTAAAGCAGCTTTAAGAATTTTAGGGAAGTTAACATTAGCAGTTGAATGACATAATGTAGTAAGTTGACAAAAAAATATAAATTAGATTGTGAAATGTAGCCTTAACATTCTTTCTTCTATTTATATGTGAAAACAAACTACGGAGATCTAAACGTACTGCTTTTAAAAGATGCTTTGCGAAGAAATGAAACAATCGTATCGTAAGCATCATAAATTGAGGTTCCGTTCCCGAAAATACACACATGACCATTATTATCTGTCTGCAAAGTAGTTATTAATATTTTCCGTTCATAGAAAAGCGGATGAAAAATAGTAAAAAGACAACCACTTAGCGTTTTTATTCAAAAGTATACTTTCAACTGCAGCACTCTCGTTCGATGTAAAATAGTTTTAGCATTCAATTGTATAAGAGCAGCTTCCGAAGGTGACACTTCAAACAGAAATTGATAGTCTGATTTAGTCGTTAATTCACAAATTTCTATAGCACTGCAAGACTTTTTAAAGCATGACAAATCAAAGAAAAACATGAAATTTAGTTATCAATACAATGATCGATGTTTATCCCAGATTGCAAAGCTAGCAATAAAAAACCAAGTAATGTGAATGTTAATATTCGTATTAGTTTGCACCGTTAAAGTTTCCAATCTAAGCTTCATCACCGGCTACTGATCTTTGGGAAAATGTAACGTTAGTTCGACTAATAATCATTACATGATGAAAAAATTTAATAACCGATGAAAATTATCCATTTTCCAAGCATCGGAAAGTGTTTTTTTGATAGGTTTTAGATCTTGCTCCTTCAAACCTTCTACATAAACCGAATCTTCACCTATGACAAATTTTACATCATATTCTTTTTCCAGCTCCAACAACACATCACATGCATCATTGCCTAAATTTATAAATGTTTAAATCTTGGTAGCAATTAAAAAATTCTCTAAATTTTTTGACATTTTAAAAACCAAAAAGTGTTTTCAACAGCGAATTCTCATCTACAGTGCTTGTTCAGTGGAAAGAAAAGTAATTAACCTGTGACATAAGCAAGAAAAAGTGGTATTTCAAATGACAACTTTGTTGAATAACGTTCCGACATCCTAAATTCTTTTTTTTCTTATTTGACTGAAACTGGAAAAATGATTGTTGAATTCAAAATTCAAAAAAGCAATGAGATAACTTCTACGTTGAAATGTAATTCACCAAACCTAAATTACCGGACAGATAATCTGAATTTTAGAACTAAAGAGTCAAATAGTCGAAATAACTAAATAATCGACAGAGTTCATGCCGTAAGTTCCTTGAAACCATCATTCCTAGCATTAATTTCTCTTCGCATTCGTTTCCTAACTCGAATAATAACGACAACAGAAGAATATGCTTCATAAAAATAAAACCCTCGCACCAATAATACCTCTTGCCGAGTGATTATATAAACTATACGCATCACTTGATGTCAATGCCCGGAAATATATATTCATAAGGCCACTCTTCTTTAATCTCTCAAGTTCAAGGGTAATATAACTTGTAATTAACTCTCAACTCCCCGAAACCATAGCCATGGATCCAACTAAGGAAGTGATTTTTCGTCTTTCATTTCACTTCTTGCATCGGACCACCATATTAGTGAATGTTCGCGAGGACTCCTATTGTAATCATTCAAAATGTTTGTCTTCACGTAATGTACGCATTACTCCCAATCCATGTTCGTTCAGCACTTCCACGTGAATTTCTATTCCATTTATCCTTTTTTTGCCATCTCCAATCTTTTCCCGCCAAAACAGTTTTTTTAAATCTACGTGACAAGATAAAAACCATAATGTCATCTGGCACTTCTTACCTCCTCCCTTATTCCGTATTGTTTTTTTCGGGTCCATTTAAAGATTTGGGAATGGAGTGCACTCTGTTTTGTCCAATTTGCATATGCCATTTTTTATTAATAAAACTCATGAAATATGATGCTCAGAGAGATTCCTTTGTTCAACAAGCGCTCAACAGTTTATCACCGATACAAATCCATTGATCATCTTTCTACATGAACAATTCATTACTTCGCATTCCATTGCATTAGGCTTTCTTCTTTACGAGTTGTTCCAATCTTCTCATACTCGAATCGCCGATACTTCCTATTGCTGAGATCGTTGACGATTGCACGTCCACTACAACTGCAGAAAATTTAGCCCCAAAATTATCTTACATATCATGAACTTCTGCAAAATAAATGAAAATTTTGATGAGTTCGAGAGAGGCTTATTATAACTCCCCTCGCCTATTTTTCCATTACTTCTCAAACTTATCCTTATATTTTGTGAAGTTTCACTCTTATTTCTCCTGAATATCGAAGTATAGAAAAAAATTAACACTCGAGTGGTAAAAGTTTACATCGTTTCAAAGAATTTGGCAGCAATTTCCATATCAAAGTATTCTCCTGTCCACGATAGTTTACACTAGTTTCTTCTCAAATTCAATAGCCCTAAAAAAAATACGAAAACCAACAGGGGTCTACGGCAGCTGTTTGTACTTCAACACGTGATTTGTACAGCTGTATAATACTTGTCTGTTCCTGACGTCTCAATGCCTTCATTTCTAGAACTTTCTGTAATTCTGAAGAGTCCGAATCGGGTAATAGACGCATATATGCCATTACAAATTCTTCGTGTGAATTTATCTCCGACATAACAACCTAAATGTTTTGAAGATGAAACAAATTAAAATAAAATTGAAATCGTTATTTAGTTCATTAGATTAATTTTTTGTCGTTCTTGTCTCAAATATCTTAATTTCTGAAACTTATAGCAAGCATAATTTAACATAATGCTTTAGAAATCAGAGCATATAATTCGTCATCAAATAATTGCCTATCCCATTCATAGGAATATAAACCAAGCTCAGGTTCATCAGATTAGAGCAAAATAAAGCACAACAAAAACATACTTTGAGTATCATTTCTACTTTCGTCATGGTTCTTACCACAACATTTGTATACATTGTTGGCGGTTTCGTGTTAGTAGCTGATCCAACCGTTGGCATAGATAATAAAAATGTCTTCAATGCATGTGCATCTAAAAGCAATTGTTCTGCACCAGCGACACCCACTGGCCGACATCTAAATTTTAAGCACACTATACAACACAGTCAAAAAACATTAGGAACGATGTTAAAAATGAATTATATGGCAGCATAATAGTAAAAGTAAATGGAAATAGCCTAAGAAAATCATATATTTGTAGATGATAGCAAAAGAAGAAGTGAAAATTAAGGACAAGATTCCACTATGATTTTCCCATCTTATGCAGACAAAGAGTTTTCTTGAATACTTTCCGTTTTTTCTTAATAGACCTTGAAATATTATTATTAATAAATGTCATAACAACATTTACAACAAATAGCACTAATCCTTCATGAATATATCTTACTCATATTCTGTCTTAAGTATTCCCACTATAACTGCATTTTTCCCTGCTTTATTCTTTCATTAATTCAATCAGTGACATGATTATTCAACATCTACCTGAATAACGCACCCAAGAACTTATTGACCAATTGCGTTGCAAGCTTCAAACAAAAATGTGCGAAATATTTTCGTCTGTCAATGAAAAAATCCCTTATCAGTGGCACACTTGACCGCAGATGACTTCGTATCGATGAAACATATGATGACTCGTCACCAACACTTTCTACACCATTCCAACTAAAAGAATTTCTGATTATATCAGTGTGACTGTCGTTCGATATCGAACCTCCCTGTTACTGACATGGCCACAGACTCTTTAAAAATAAACTCACGATATCAAGTACCAGTACCTGCTAACGCGGGATCCGATGGTATAACGCCTCCCATAACCGAAAGAAAAAAAACAGAAATGAAAGACGCGAAAAATTAACTTTTTTTTCACCATCGCTTGCAGAGCAGCATCACAAGTGGACTCTACATCCTGTACTAAGACAGAAAGGGCACTATTTGATATACTATAGAACAGTTCCATTTCTTGATTAAGATCGATGCTCTAAAAAATATAGATCTAATGATCATAATTGATCTGTCGTAGGTCTGCTATCTAAAAAGCATACTTTTGATATTTAACACTACCATCTACATTTTTCTCTCCCGGGAATTTTGTAAATAGCAGTTCTCATATCTTTTATCACTGCAATTATCTATATCCTTTGATAATTTTCAAATTCAGGATAATCATAGCTTATGTAAAAGGGAAATAGAAGAATTTCCTCCTTTCCTTGAATGTTTTAGAAAAGCCCATAATCACCTGTACTCGCTGCTTTAGTTTCTCCTGCAATTGCAGTGTTGTTTCAGCGCACCAGTCAGCAGTAGCAAGTAAGCAGCACGTAAAAAATTGCTGATCAGCTGTTAAGCGAACCGCAGTTTCATCCCTGAAAAATAAGTCCAATAAAAATTCCGAATTGTTACACCAAGATTAAATTTAATTAAGTCAATTTCATAACTTGAAGGTAAGAAGGAACAAATTAATAAAAAAAATAATAGTAAGCAATATCAAAGAACCTCATTAAAGTTTGCAAAATTGAAGTAGACGAAAATTGAGTAGTTGCTAAAGACGGTAAGAAAGCTGTTAAACAACCATGAGCGTAACCACGCAGACAGTTGCGTAGAACCTCCAATAGGTTCCTGAAAATAGAGTTTTAAATCTTAAATACGAAAAAAGTATAAAACACAACTGAACAAAATTTACACTCTCGGACGTTCGAAAGTCAAGCAGTTAAAGTCTCGCACAAGCAATTTTACCAGTGATGATTTTGCAATGTTCTTTACAAAATTACATTATCAAAGAAATTTTGCTACTCCTGTCACCTGCATCACTGAATGACAAAATGGGATTTCTCACTTTAAACAATGCTGTTAATAATGCCTGAATCATACGAATGACTGATTGGGAGAAACTGAATTAATATAATATAACTCCAAACCTTAGTAAAGAATTCGGATCGGAGCTGAGTTTTGTTGACTCGGCAATTATTTTTTTCAACAAAAGAAACATATCAGCGGATGATGGCAGTGGATACGCATGCGATGCTGTTTCTCGAGTTGGTCGTTCAGCACCACTCCTGATCCTTACTACACATTCCTCTAAAAAGCTATCCAAATTTTTCTTTTGCGCTGCCACAAATACATCCATGTACTTATCGAATGCTCGCCAAATGATCTGAATTGAATATTAGCACTGTTTCCTTAATTTCAACATTATAGACACGAATAAATTTTATTTTTCACGGTCTTATTTGTATATTCTGGCTGCTCTAGTCTCACAAAAAATCTATTTTTTCTTCAATACCGATCTAAAGAGCATTATAAATGGTCAAGTTGTTATTAGTCAATTTTTTTAACTTCATAGCCAATCAAACATCCAACCAATGTGCAGCTAATTATACAAACCATCATAACGATCGTAAACATTTCCTAGTAACATAGGGTGTTTCACGAATATGGTTAAAATGCTCAATAAAATGCCACAATAATCTCCGACGAAGCTCTATAGTTCGAACGTTCGACTGTTCTGTTTAATCCAACCAATAGTAAGGTATCTGACGGTTAATAAGCAGCAGTATTTTTTCGATTTACTCAACGATTTTGCTTTCTTAACATGACCTCCCGATTTTGCTTTTAACATCTTATTAGATGATCACATCAGTTTCATGACTTAAAAAAATACCTTTTCAAAGTTGTAATTTTCCTTTGCCGGAAATCTCTTGTAAAGTAGATTTTCAAACATTATTGTATGGTTGATAGCGTGCGCGAGTACTTTATAATCGAGTTCTAACCAACGTCTCGACATCATTCGTTCCAGCATCTCTCTGTCAAATTGTGTGAAGAATCGATGGCAATATTTTTAATGCAGAGATTGTTTTTAAAATTTTCGTTTATCTATAGGTATTATATTCATAAAGAACCAAAAAATCCATGAAAAGTACAGTGAAAAGATACCTCGTCAAATTACAATATCCCAAAGTCAAACGCCGGCCCATATCCCAATCAGCAGGAAACACTTTCATCATACCTGTTTTTTCAAATTCGGTCAATTTTTGCACAAACCATCGATATCTACAAAAAAACAAATGTCTAACTATATACCAGCAGTAAATTAGAATTTGATAAAAGCCCAGATTTTGAAATAACCTTAAATCAATTTTGTCAATCCAAGCAATATTCTCACTTTCACCGTAAAGCACAGTATATTCGGAAAGCTGATGATCTATAAACCATTTGCAAAAATCTTCTCGTATGACTGGATCTAACGATGCAGCAACACGACACATATCAGTCACCGAAGAATTCAAGACTCCTGTCTGAATATCAATTAAATCATCAATATCTCAGAAAAAAGAATTGTTTTCGAAAAAATAACTCTGGTTTAAAGGAAACTATCAATGGACTAGTCAGTCAAAAAACCTGGAATGAATGTTTTAAATCCGCCACAAGTTGAATAGCTAATCGCTGTTTTAGCCGCTCAAGTTGTTCAGCGACATTTTTGATATGTTCCACTTCCATATAAGGACCGAAAAGTTGTAAAACATTCAAAACAGCCGGTAACTGCGAAGCAATATCACCATATCGATGTTGATCTATCCATGATCCTTCAAGTCAGTTCATAAGTCATAAATTGTGAATGCGGTCATCTTAAATTCACTTTTCTCCTATTCTAAAAGTTGAGAAGCTGTAGCCAACGTTTTGCAAATGCTGATAACAAACTTGATAATAGATCGAAGTCTTAGAATCAACCATCTAATTGGATAAGTAACTTTCCCGCTACGCTTAAACTGTTGTTTACTATGGAAGTCTAAAGTAAATATTTTAGGCTTGAATGTAAGCAATTTTTCAACAAGACGAATTTACCGAGTGAATAGACACCAGTCAGCAAAATCTGAAGGTGATGAAGAGCTTTGAGTGAGGAGATTAAATTCCGTTTTGCAACATCAAGCTGTTTAATGTCACGAGTCATTTCCTGTACAACACTTTCTGATGATTGTGTCTTCAAACAAACCGTACGTACACGTTCTTCTAAGTCTCTCATTGCCGCATGAGCCTAAACACTCAAGTATCATTAACAAATCTGAAAAAAAAGTTTGGTCTATTTTAATCTTTGATTACGTGCATAGCATGAGTCAATCATAATTATTTAACAGAAAAGAACAACTAGCCTCACGTAAGGCTTGGTCCCCTTCAGTACCAGCTTTCCCATGCATTTCAACAAGCTTTGCCAGCTGACAATCCAAGTCAACGATTTCATCCTCTATAGAACGCATCACTGAATCCAACTGTGACAATGACTGTTCCGTTGGAAACAAAGCATTGATTTGATCGACAACATCCATATCAGCAGGACATAATCCACCACTACTGATTGAGGCAATGGTACGAATCACCTAAAATTGCAGCACAGCACATCACTCCTTACTTTTAACATTAACTACTTATAGAGAGAGTAAGGCAATTAATTTATCAATCAAAAATGCATAATAGAAAATGAAAAGAATGAATTTAGCTCTCCTCTTCTGCCTTCTTCTTACAATCGACCACATTATTAAATACTCAAATTTATTTTAAATAATATTCTAATTAAAACTAGGTTATCTGTTTAGCTTCTGATTTAAAAATGTTAACACCAAATAGAATCAAGTAGAATCAAACAAAATCTAAGAAATATCGTTGATTATCAGACTAATAATCACCTACCCTATCACTGAATGTCACTTCGTTTTCTACACCTTTTGGACTTCCATCTTTCTTCGTTTGAAGGCTATTTTCTAACGCCTCGTTCATGTTCCTGTCATCCAAATTGTGGTTCTTTTCCATCAGCATATTGAAATCCCGAAAAAAAGATATATTCCTTATACAAGTATATCTTACCGGTTTCGGAGTACAGTTTTTTTCATTCAACTGATTGATTTCGAAGGAATATTCAATATTTGAAAGAGAATTCCCCTTAAAATATTAAATATCAATTTTATTCGAATTCTTAACTCTGACATCACGAGGCTAAAATGATGCAGCGATGTGCCTAAAACAACTCTTTCATAGCTTATGTTACAGAAGAGCGTACACAACTGTAATGGTCATACCTTGGCGCTTCGATTTACTTCTTTATCATTTATCAGTGAACCCTCTAAGGGAGTTGACTGAGCATCCATCCTTCACCCGAATGACACATAACCTCGCGTAATCCTATCAGTGATTTCTTTCATATCTGCAACGACACGTCTCACGTTGTTATTACAATTCGTTGCATTCTTATCCATTAACTGGTGAACTTAACCACTTAACTGTCCTATTCTTTTATTGATCTATTTGCGGTGGCCTCTGCTTAATTCTTGTTTTCAATTTCAATTATGAAAACTTCATTTAGTTAATGAAATTCGTTTTCCATTTCATTTACAAGAACACCCTCCTTTTTGTGTGTCTTCAAACTTATGTAATTTTTGCGCTTCTCCTCTCGCCATGCTTTTTTTAAAGCGCTCTGGTCTAAAATGTGCATTATTTCGTGTAATATGATAAGCAATGAGTTGAACAGATTTCATTTCATATTTCAGGTGCAATAAGTAAGAGAATGAAGTTTGAGAATTTGCTCGGTCAGCGTGGCACTGCTGTGGCTAAGCGTCTTGGATGGAAGCAAGGTCTCTCACATTGATTTCAGTTTTCTTTGGCTTTGCTGCAAACGTAACTTGGCATAGTGTTTTCTATAATAAGCTTTCCCAGAGAAGTGCTAAACATTATTACTTGGAATTGTATCAGTTACAGGGGATGAAGAGGAGAGCTGGTCAAAAAAAGCTATCGATAGCTTGATGAAAAAACTACAAAAACATAACAAAGAAGCACTAGCAAGTTTAGAAATGGCACTGCAGTGTCAAGGACGTCAAAGAACAGACTGCGTCACCATACCACGTTCACTTGACGGCAGATTACAGGTCTGTTTTTTCCTCTATACATTTTTTGAAATAAATTGGATTGAAAATCTGTGCTCTTCATTAGAGAGTAATATAAATTTTCTGTAGCGAAATGTAACGGCTAGATAGTGCTCAATATGATTGGATATAAATTTGGAGATTATAAGTAGCTCGGAAAATAGTATTGAGAAGATGAGAAATAAAAATGAGATTTAAACCTTCACATTGCGATCTTTCCTAAACGCTTGCCTTTGTTACACGTATCTCTTTTGGAAGATATACTTGAATATTCTTGGACAATACGGAAACAGTTGATAACAGAATCCGTTCTGCTAATCACGGGAAGAATATTTAGTTTTCCCAGGCAAATCATGTAATGGTTTACCCTCTGTATGTTATATACAATTTTTAGATATCGCATCGAAAAGCATTGCCTCATGTGATTTACTGTCGTGTTTATCGTTGGCCAGATTTGCAATCTCATCATGAACTGAAAGCAATTGATGACTGTCGCTATTGTTACGAATCAGGTCAAAAAGATGTTTGTATCAATCCATACCATTACGAAAGAGTGGAAAGTGCTGGTATTTTGCCTCCAGTTTTGGTACCACGGTATACCGAACCTCCGCCGCATATTATACCACGGCTGTTACGTATTTCCAGATTGCAGACGGGCCCATCGGTTTCATCGATGCCATGCAATATTGACTTCAGTCATTATAGTGATGCAGTTCGTTCTAGCTTTTGACATTTTTTTCCAAATTTTCACTCAGGATTTCCTTTTCTTATGATGTACATTGCATATTGTGTTTTCTCGGTCAAATTTTGATTCCTCCTTTTTATTGATCTTTAAGTATTTAGAGAAGTTCAGTTATTCATTTGCAGAAGATTACTTTCGGTTTTTTCATTTACAATGCTTATTCTTAACTTGTTGATTGTTCACCTTTAGATATGACGCTCCATGCAAATTTTCTGGTAACTAAAGGAAAGTTAAGATGATATTTCCAGATGATGATGTCAAAACGTGACGACGAAATGAATGCAAGTATAATCATCCCGAATGGCGTTACCACGATAGAGGTGTGCTGGTTTTTGTCATGATGATTTAAAAAAAATTGCATCCGAGTTTTCTCTCATATTATAATTCTGATTTCTTTCTTCGTTTGTCGTTTTGCAAAGTTCATTTAAGGTGCCATATGAGGAAGGGAAGTTCTGGGCTACAATCAGTTATTTCGAACTCAATACCCGTGTCGGTGAGCAGTATAAAGTCTCATCCCCAACTGTTGAAATCGATGGTTTTACGGATCCTACCTCAAATCCTAGTAAAATATGCCTTGGTCTTTTATCCAACGTAAACAGGAATCAACAAATCGAATCAACTAGACGACGTATTGGAAGAGGTTTCAATTTCCATAATTTACAATCGTTAAATTTCTTGTCCTAGAGATTTGGTGAATTGTCATGTCGTTTTTTATCATAAGTTTCTTTAACCTTTGCATCTCGAGTTTTCGTTGCAGTCTCTTTTGTATCCTGTATAGCTTTCTGAAAGCTTGGAAGTTTTTATTATTTATCCATGAATTTCAGGAGTAAAGCTAACTTATGTCCCAAATCAAGGAACGCTTTTCGCTGAATGCCAGAGTGAAAGTGCCATATTCATTCAATCTCGCAACTGCAATTATTTTCACAGTTTTCATCCTACAACAGTATGTAAAATAACAAATGGGATTTCCTTGAAAATTTTCGATATGTCAAAATTCAGAGAGGTTTTTTTTTATAACGATTTAGAAAATACTTTTTCTTCATGCAAAAATATGATAGTGTGTTTGTTTATAGATTTTAATTATTTTAGTTCTCCATATATTTTTCTTTCTATCGACGTTAATTTTGGCCAGAAGTTCGTTGCTCTTTTCCAGCTATTAGCGGAGTCGACGCGTTGCTGTTCTTTTGATGCAATTTATGAGCTAACAAATATGACAATCATACGTATGTCATTTGTAAAGGGTTGGGGTGCAGAATATCAGAGGCAAGATGTGACATCCACGCCATGTTGGGTTGAGATACATCTCCATGCTCCGTTACAGGTATGTCCTTCATGTATTCTACTTTGAAACATTGTTGACATTTAGATTTGATTAATTTGCAACAAAATAATTTGGAATAAATGAGGAGAATCAAGCAGAAAATAACAGTAGTTTTTCTATTATACACTTTTTCTCTTCTCTTCAAGCGATATTAATTTTTTGTCAACTTATTTCGTTGTTGGGTGGTGAAACGGAAATGCACATGTTTTGTTTTAGTGGCTGGACAAAGTTCTTTCACAAATGGGTCCTCCGCCCAATCCAGTTTCTTCAATATCTTAATTGCCTCCGTTTGCAATATCAACTACTTTCGGAATATAACGAACGATGAGATGTAAAATTTATTGGTTTTTTTCCATTATTTTAATCTTGCAGTCCCGAAATAAGTTAAAAGATTTCTTCCTTATCTTTTTCGAAAAAAATTGTCATTTCCAATTTTTAGCCTATTAACCAACTTTTTCGGAAAAGTAGTGGTGATTTCTAATTAGTTGCATTTAAAACGAGCCTAATTTGAACCCTCAACTACTGGATAGAATTTTGACTGTCAATTGTACATTTTGCGCTATTTTCATTTGCACAAAATGAATTACTTGAATCTATATTTTTTATGTGTTAAGCAGTAATTTCTTATATCATTCATACGATACATTCATTAGATGTTTCAGTCTAGAAGACTTCATTATCTAAGTCTAATCAAAAACTCAAGCGTTATTATTCATAATATTTGAATGAAAAGGACTTATTCTTCGCTTGTGAATTCATTGATCGTTCTGAACCGCGGTAAGATCTCATTGTTAACGCGTAGATTTCTCTAAGCCGTCCTGTCTATCATTAATTTTCTACTAATGCTTTTTCATTGTCTACTTTTTGATTTTATTAAGGAAACTGTACGTTACAAATGAAGATATTTTGGTAATTGCAATAGTCTATCTCGTTTTTCTGAAATATAATTGAAAGGCTATAGGAACATGAAGACAAAATAATGATTTGGAATTGAAAATGTGGAAAAGAGGTTTGTTTTAACCGCAATTCTGAAATTTGCCCACTGAATAATCTACAGCCATTTAAATTTTAAGCTTCATGCTAATGTTAAAAATTGCTATTAATTTCGTTAGTTTAACCATTTGTGCCTTATATCTATCGTGCTTTGAATTATTGATCGCTTTTGCCATGTATTTATTCAACTCTTTATAAAATCTATAGTGAAATGTAATAAATATTCTAAATATTTTTCAAAAATTTGCGCAACCACTTGTGCTCTCATGTGCATATACGTTCCATACATCCATTTACATTTAGATTGTATTATTTGCAAAATTTAATAGCACTGCAATAGTTTGTAGAAGGTGGTTGCGGGTATAGGATGGAAAATTATTGTTATAAAGTTTTACAGTATTGACAACGAGATGTCAGATGGAGTTATATTTTTGAATCTAGGTTTGAAAATATGTAGTGCTTAAGTTCTAGTCCCAACCTAGAAATTAGCCGTATAGTTTTAAAAATTTGTTTGGGCTAAATCGAACTGCGAATAAAAAATGTTTGTTTCCAGCCGTGAAAATTTTTAGCTCTGACAATAATGATAGTGGAAAGTAAGGCACCATTCACAGAGAGAACAAAAATGATTTTTTGTGACAACCATTTTTTTTATTTGAACGATCTATTGATTGGCGTTAATCATTGTTCTTCATTTGCTTTTTTGAAATAACGTATGATCGCGGTTTTCATCCTTGGATACGTAATGATTAATCATCTTTGGATACATAATGATCTGAACCGTTTTAGTGGCGGAGTTTCCATCAAAATCCCATTCAGTTCTATTACACCCAAGCATATGAATTCATTTCATAAAAAATATTTTTGAGGTGGATGATTAAATATTTAACTTCGAATATGCTATTCACTAAATTTTTCTTTTCTACACTCATCACCAGCATTATTTCTTGAATTGGTTTTGCTTTCTTTAGGTGTATGTTATTTAGAAGCGCTTTCATAGGTGATAAATAGTCGTCCAGAGATGTTGAAATCGTACATTGCACTTTTATGGCATGCATTCTGCTGTACATGCGGATTTATTGCATATCTCAATTCAGGGATTTGATATATTGCATCTTCAAAATTTACCATTTTATTTCAGCAATGTTGGTTAATGGGAAATGGAGGAAATTACCCCAATCGGAAGATATCATTCCATTAACATCGTCAAAAATGAACGAAAATGAAGAACGAAGTAGTCTTCGTTTCAAGTGTTTCATTATTATTCAAATGATTTTCGTTTGGACAGGCTATACAGTGATGGTGAGATATTCTCGTTCAAGTACACTTAAACATTTGGTATGTGGTATAATTGTTGTACATAATTCTAAAAAGTTTTATATTTTTTAAAAATCCTTTCAATATGAAAGGGTCATTGTAAAATATTCCCATGCCTGAACTAAATATTCATTGTCAATGTCAATGTATTTTCGTTATTGATTGTTAATTTCAAAGTGGCATTATTTATTTTATATAATATACAATATTAATCAAGCTCTATTTATTTCTTTATTTTTTGTTTTTTTGAATTACTGGTATTATTTTGTCGATTTTCTATTACTTCCACTGCACTTTACAAACAGAAAAGATTAACAGTGTGTATTGCTCATTACATATTTTTATTAACGATTTACATAATTGTTGGTTACATTAAGCTGAATTCTCTCTTCTTTAAATCCTATTCTTTCCGTACCATTTAGTGCAATTAAACTGTGGTTTGAAGAAAAAACTGTTATCAAAATATTTAACCTTTTCCAGCAATACTTCCCAACAACAGTTGTGTATCTCTCGGAAATGATCAAAATGATAATTGCTCTATTCTTTGTCTTCCAAATTAATAGTTACAATATAAGTGAATTTACAAGAGTAAGTTTACTTCATCGTTACTTATCTAATCTTTGATGATATCATTAGCATAAATGCACACAGTAATCTTTCATTTCTTTCAGACGTTGTTATCGTCATTTCATAGTCTATTTATTCTTGTAGATATAACATCAAATTTTGAAAGTAAAGCAGAGAGTTAAATATAAATTCTAGTTAATAGTAGTTTTTTAAATAATTTTTTAAAGAACTGTCAGATAGATCAATTAATTGATTTATAGTATATGCGGAAGGAATATTTTGGGAAGCCAAAAGATTTGCTGAAAATGGCTTTTCCTTCAATCGCCTATGCAATTCAAAATAATCTTGATTTCGTGGCATTGTCAAACTTGAATGCTGGTATTTATCACGTTACTACTCAACTTAAAGTGGTCACTACGGCTCTTTTCATGATGATTATCCTTGGACGACGATTCTCTAGTATACGATGGCTTGCAATTTTCTTGCTTTCCGGCGGTGTTGCTGTTGTGGAGGTACTTTCAGTGTTCGTTCGTAGGAAGTAATAGAATTAAATGAAAGAAATGCATAATGCTTATTTATTTTTCTTATTGCGCTGATTATCCTTTCATTGGAAGAACATATAAATGCAAGTAAAATATACATTGAAAAATTATTATGATCATCGTTTAATATTTCTATTTATTACGGCGTACGCTTTGGCGAACTGAAAAATTTATTCTTTATGCGAGATTTAGGAAACTACCATCATGATGATGGAGTCTATTGAGGTAAAAGTTTTTCACAATATTATTTCATTATTTATTACGTATCCTTCAAATTGAAATTGATTTTTATTCATTCTAAAACTGATATAAATTTATAGGTTAGCATAAACGAAAGAAATGTTGCGGAGAAAAACGATGAAAATTACGTGGTAGGATTGGGTGCTGTATTACTCACATGTGTGACAGCAGGCTTTGGTGGTTGGTAATGTGTGTTAGAAAATGTTAATTGAATCTCAGTATAGACAGTTGTAAATTCAGAAATGATAGGAATCTCGATTTCTTTGGCCAATTTGCAGGTGTGTACTTTGAACATTTGCTTAAAGACGGCAGTGAGACACCGTTCTGGATTCGGAATCTTCAAATGTATAGCTGTGGCGTAGTGACTGCAGCCTTAGGATGCATTCTTTCTGAATGGAACAGAATTTTTACTAAAGGATTTTTTTACGGTTACAATATTGTTGTCATTGCTATCATTCTGTTCTTAAGTACAGGCAAGTTAATCATTTTTTCCATTAATTGTCAGTAGACATACGAAAATTTTCATGAATTGATCGACATTTTACACAGTCACAAATCATAGAAATGGTTGATAAGTTTCCGAAGGCGAAACTAACCAAATAAGTTCCCACTAAGTTGTCAAATGCAATCGTTTATTCAGTATGATGAAGCCTTAAATGAACAGATAATTAAGTAAAAACGAGAATATGAAGTGAATGAAAAATCCGAGCAGTGAATAGTAAGTGAAAAAATACAGAAGTTTCTCTTTTTATTTCAGGAGGGATTTACATATCATTGGTGATGAAATATCTGGATAATTTATGTAAAAGTTTTGCCTCAGCAGTGAGTATCATCTTAGTTGTTATGATTTCCTATTTCATACTGCACGATATGCAGCTGAATTGGATATTTATAATCGGTTCCATAACTGTTTGTGGAGCAATATTATTGTATAGTTCAGTACCAGAATAAAATCCTTTCAGAGCATATTTATTTTTTCATTACTGGGAATTTAAAAATTCAAGCTATCATATGTTTTGCTCATTATGAGATATGCAAAAAAAATGTATTTAATCACTTGTTAAGTTCTGCTCATTATGAGATATGCAAAAAAAATTTCTATTTAATCATTTATTACTATTACCAATGAGTTTTGTTGGAATTTGAATAACTGCTATTCTTTAAATTGATAATGCAGAAATTTAGTATAAGCACATCGGCTGCTGGATGTTGTACTGGCCCCTATCTACGCAGTAATACGATCCTAACAATTTGCAAGTTTTCTTTGAAATTTCTGAATCTACACTTCTAATTAATACAATATGCTAAATATTACAGAAAATAAAAGTTGTAAGAATTCAATGTTTATTTCTCCCCGAGAGTTTCCTTTTTCCAAAGTATTTATAGCAAACAATTTGAATACTTTTTACATAGTAATTTTCTTCCGTATTTATTCTTTAATTTCACTAATTTTCGAACCATTAATTTTTACATCGCATATAGCTCACTTAATTTATCGATTCGCATGATTTATCTTCCCATCATTCACTACCTAATTTATTTCCAGGTATCAAACATTAAAGAATATTATTTCAAATGATTGTTAGAAATCAAATCTGCAAAATGCACAGCATTTTATGCTTGAATTCAAATACTGATGCAAATTTCGTTACCCTACCTTGCAACAACCGTTTCAATATTAATCAATCAATATAAATGAGGAAGCAAAAGAAATCTTTTCCCCGAAACAAATTGAGCAACACAAAGCCGATAACATTCCATGCGTTTTGAGAAATAAATTAGTGGATCATAAATAAGAATAACCTACTACAGAAAACCACACCGCTCTTAAGTTGTGGCGGGATTTAGATGCAAAACCATGAGCTGGTGGTACACACAAATGAACGGTAACTGTCCACAATTGGCAATGCATTGAGATATTGCCTTTGAAGTTGAAGTTTTGTGCTATATTTGAATCGAAAAAGGCATGTGAGCATTAAGTCGTAGTTTGTTTATTCAGTTCACAATTCTTTGCTGAATAAAGAAACAATTTATTAATGCCATTATCTATTAAATATTTCGGAGCGTTAATGTTTCATACTGTTATGGAAACGGGAAAATTAATGGTGCAAATATCAATCGTTATGGTACTATTTTCTTCCCTAAGTTAACATATTAAGACATTAGAAATGACTCTTCACAAATCAAAAACAGATATGCTGATAAATAATAAGATTTCTTTCAATAAAAAAAATGCATCGACAAAAGCGCCATTTCTTTCGGGAAGGTTTTCAAAAATTCAACCACCATTTATCGGCGGTATTACAGCGATTTCTGAATGCGCACTGATCGTAAATGTATCGTTGTGATTAGCGATATATTCCTGATTTAGAGCTAACATGCAACATTCTTCGATTGGTGACAATTCTTTCAGTATCTAAAAAGTTAAAAGCTCATTAAAACACTGGTTTTGCTTGGTTGCTCATCCATTTAAACTTCCATATTAATCAATCTGGCACTGAGTTAGCACTCATAAATGATAACTAACTTGAGTTGTCTAATCGGAAGGTCGTCTATTCTACTACTTTTAATAACTGTATTCTTACTTCGAGGCGGTGAAATTGGCATTTTTAGTTTCAACTAAGTGAAAATATTTATTAATCATAATTTCCATCCTATTTGGAAAAAAGTTATTCGAGTAAAATTTCACGGCAAAGCGCTCTTAGTGCTTTTAAAAACTAATTAAAATTTTCAAAATCTTTCGAAAAGTATCGAATTGGAATAAAAAGCACATCCCGAAGTGACTAATTAATGAATTGTGAGTGATAGTAGAGGTGAAAAAACAAGGCCTCATGAAATATTAGTTGTCGCAGCTGTCGGCAGTTTAACACACTCGGTACATTTACATTCCGCTCCGACAAATTTGTCAATTCACGCGCTATACCAAATAAAACAAGATGAACAGGTACTGTTGCCATTGTTTTGCTAGTATTAATTCTCATACAGAACAGGAAGTAGAGGTTTCTGAACTTCAACCTTCCAGTACGGCTATATTTATTCCTAACTACAAGAACACTGAAAAACTGTTGTAGTAAAAGTAACTTTTTTGATAAAGAATCAGAGATAATGGAGAAACAATAGATAAGTTCAAAGTGATACGCTTGCGTAATTCTATTTCGCTGAATTGAATTAATTAGAGAAAAAGCAAATAAAGAGATTGCTCGCCTTCAAACGCGTACATTAAAGTTATAAATACTTCCTTTGCTAACTCTTAAAAACATTGAAAACCATAATCCAGTAAAGCTAATGATTAAAACAGAAAAAGAAAAAATAAAACTAGAAATATATGTATTTCTGGTTTTATTTTTTATAGAGATCTACAAAACCTCATAAAATAATTACTATCCAATAATTCACGTAACAGTTTGAATGCTGAAAAATGATTCCACGATAATGAAAGCATAGCAGAAACACATCAAGTGTAGTAGTATATTCTGATGAAAATAAAAAAACCTTTAATATCACCCACAAGCGCTCAATATGTATTTCAAAAATTTTTAGAAAAAGATTTAACCAGTAAAATACAGTCGAAAAAAGAACAAGATTGAACCTCGTGCATGCACTAAAACTTGAACGGTTTTAGAATCAAGCCACGATAATTGTCAGAAATTTAATGCAACATGTAATGAAAAACAACAATTTTATGGTGAATGAATATTAGCATTATTGATGAGAAATAAGCGATTCCAGGCGTAGCGTAATATCGCGAATGAATTCATTACATCCTTCGCTCTTTTTTGCCAATTCCAATATTTCGCGCAATAGCACATCGCATTTTAACCCACAGATTGAAACAGTCGTAAAATATGTTGAAAGAATTTCATTCAACTTTGCAGTACAACCTAGAACGGCAAAGGTGAGGGTAATAACTGCTTAATCGCATCAAAAAGACTCATTAAGTTTAAGAAGGTGCTGTTGTTCGAAAAATTCTTTCATTTTTAATTTCAAAATTCCCTCACTAGTTTCCGCATTTTTCTACTTAGTCTCTCCTCATCCAAGTATTCATTAAAAATCTCACTGACTCTGAGATTTCCTGTCAGCTCTGCAATGAAAGTCCAAAATTTAAACTTAAAATATTTGTGGAGCGCATGACTTCATAGGAATTACTATTATATTAATAAAATTAAAAAATTATTGATATCGGAAGATAATTAAGACATCGTGGACCGTTTTGTTACTGTAGCATGGCCATATCGAACCAAACTGACATCATTCTTTTTGAACAGGCTTTCATTAAAACCACTCTTCATCTGTGTTATAGCTATCACAAAACATGAATTTAAAAATCCAGAAATCCATATGTTAAGATACAAGTGGATTATGAATTATTTTTCCGGAAAATATGATTTACAATTCTCTCACCATGTTGAAGAAGAGATCGTACATATAAATTGAGGTAGTGACGAAAATCATTAGGAAGTCTTAATGAAAGTGCGCTGCAAAGCCTTTCTTCTAAGAATGAATGAGTGGCATTGATCTGGACTTCACTGTTCACATGAATTGGGCTGCTGAAAAACAGTAATTTCCATTTTAAGATTAATAAGAGAATGGATCAAAAAAACTGCAAAAAAAGAAAAAGCTTCAACAAACAACCAACCTTTTTATAGGACCAAGTAAAGCACTAGCTGAAGCATTCACTGATGGAATACTTAATCTAGGCAGGATGCTTTTTTCATCGAACAGCAATTGCCTAAAATCAAGGACTGAACTTTTTTTTCAAAATATATATTTTGTTTCCAAATCAAATTAATGTTCAACATATTCCAATTCTCTTTAGGAAAATACTAGTAAGTGTTTCTTACCAACAATCCAGCGACAGCAAAAACGAGTAAGTTTTCCCATTTGAAAGAGTAATGACAGGTTCGCCTATGTCTGATAATGTACAAGAAACTACTTTGCAATCTATAAATTAATTATATCGGTATCAAGAAAATCGATACATGTTAAACGGAATGAATGAAAATGCAGTAAATTGTCCAGTTGTTAGCAAGAAAGAATTTCGCATGTTTGGGACGACTCCCATTTCTGAACTGATCAGATCACAGTACTTGTAAATTTTGATAATAATTACGAAAGCAAACAATAAATAATTCATTTTTTGCAACAAACTGAAAATTACCTTTTTCGCAGAAATCAACAATTGACCTCCTTGACATAATACATTTCCTAATTTCTATATTCCTAAAAAGAAGGCGTTAATACTACAAAAATGTTTGAAAAAAAAAGAATTATTTCCAGAGAACCCTCGCCTTCTACTAATTCTCGCATTCTGAAAAATCAAAGGGAGCCCGATATAAATCAATTGAAATTAAATAAAAAAAAGAAAAAATTTTTAAAAACAAACAAGACTGTAATGCTTTATGATTATCTATCTCCCAAAGTGATAGGAAAATGAAAAAATTCTAACCAAGAATAGACCATTCCCTGAGATGAGCAAATCGAAAGATAGTTTAGATGCACTTGAATTATGAAAGGTAATGAATCGATAGTAAAGAACGCATGTAATCGACCGGAAGGTGTTGAATAAATGTGGATACTGCCATCGTAGCAACCAGCTACAAACCAATGACTGTAAGAGAACCATTTGAAAAAAGTTTGTTTAAAACCCTGAGCTAACATTTTCCATTAATCAAATGAGATAAGCTGATATTTGCAACAACGATTTAAATGGATGTTTTTTCAAGAGAAGAACCGTAACAATTCAAAGTTTTTCTTCAAAATACTACAGGCAAATGGAAACTTCAAGCAAATGGAACACCTATTAGCAGCAATGGAGCATACAACTGGATCTAAATAAGCTGTCCATAGCACTGTTGCATCTTTCATACCAAATAACTTCGTCAGTTTTACAGTTGCCGCAACTTCATATTCATTTAATACATCAATCTTATTTACTGAACACATTTCAGTCTGTAATTAAATTATAGATAACAAGCAAAAACATTTTCACAAGATAATTTAAGCAAAAATTTATTAAAAACTCTTCCTAACTATTTATTTATTTAATGAAAATTACTCAAGCAACTCTAAAAAAATTTTGTATTAAAAAGTTAACTGAATGATTACAGTCGGGATTAATTTCTATTCTTGTGTTATGATCCTAACTTATTTTATATTTCTAAGCAGAAATGTATCACATATTGCATTTATTTGATTGAATATCAAATAAATGCAATATCATTCAGTGAACTAAAGAAAGTACTACAACCACGGTAATTGCAACTTACTGGAGGAACGGATATCGACAGTGATCGGCGCTGCTGAGGAATAGGAAAAGTAATAGAACGATTATCATTCAAATTGACTGTTAATGATTCCGGAAAAGGAGCAGGACGCAATAGTGGTTTTAATGCTAATTGAGGTAGAACCTATAAGAAATTGACAATTTAGCGCCGGTAACTATTAGTTTCTGAATGTCTTCGTTAGAACAATAAAAAATTAGGTGACCTGTTCGGTTTTGGATGTCGAAAGATGTGTGTCCATCGGTTCTTCAATCCTTGGAGTAACTTCTACTTTTTCAATGCTGCTTACCAATATTCGGCCGCTACTTTTGGATGGGGATGCCAAAAGATGCACAGATGAAGCCTGTGATGGCTCATAACTAAAATAAGGAGTATTTTAATTCAGAACACATTTAAAAATCCAAAATAGAATAAAATATGCTATTTTATAAGGCTTTGACCTGCTTGTTGATGGTTTCTCCGTGGAAATAGGTGTAGTAGTTATTTCAGCTTCAGGAACACTAACAGAGGCAATGAAAGCAGGCTGTATTCTTCTTTTCCCTGATTTGGTCCGGAGTTCGGTTTGTTTCTTCGGTAATTCCGATGAAACAGGCATCTTTTCTGGACAATTAATTTGAATTGCAAATATAAATTAATACGCAAATTAATAATAACATCATAGAACAGACTAATAGCATATTTCATTTTATCCGAACTGGTAGATCATTCATCCATTTTGAATATGTCAAAACAAAATGCCCTCCTCTGACCATTGAGAAAAATGAATCAGCTAAATATACGATTCATCATTTTACCCCAAAAAGATCATGGATCAAATAAAAACAAAGCAAAACCTGCATCGCACGAGATTGATGTACTGACAATGGGTCGACTGCTAGGAACTTCTTTCACTTGTGACGAAGTAAAGGAATCATTGTCGTGAAGTTTTGATTGTTCCGGCTCTTGCTTTTTGCTTTGAAGCTTTTTCAGATCATCGACAAACATTCTGCTAGAATCTTTGGTAGACAACAGCTGATGTCCATTATTTAGCTGACGAGAAGAATATTGTAATGGCCGACGACTATATATTCGTTCACATAGATCGCCCTTAAACACATTGGTAAACCACAACAAATGTAAATCATAATTCATACATGTCTTTCTTTTTTTCTTACTAAATTATGCCAGTAGAGTGGCAAAAAGAATGGAGAATAATCAGGTTAAAAGAATCTTTAAAAATACCATTTCAGAAGAAGTAAGCAACCGTCCTAATTCTTTTGCATCAAACACAATTGATTTCACCGTTCCATCCATCGAGCATATAGTTAGATGATAATCATTCCTGCAATAATTTAAAATGGTGCTTCATCGATACTGCACCAGGTAATGTTAGAAAGCTGCTATCAGATAACTTTTGCGATCAGAGCGAACTATGGTCAACCAAGTTGTAAACAACTTTTCAAGTTTGATTTAAAAAATGTTTACCAGGAAAAATCAAGTATGGAATGTTTAAAAAGTTTGTATAGTACAACTAAAGGTCGATCCACATTCGGCAATAACCAGACGCTTAATGATTTGTCACGACTGCCCATTGCTATACAGCTTACTTGAATTTGATTGCCCTGCAATAAAGCTTCTCTTTCTTTAACTTGAGAATCATAGAACCCAAAGTCTTATGTGAAACTAACACACATAGATAGAAATAAGGTAGGACAGACAATTAAACTAGTAATATATAAAATAATGAAAAACTTGAAGTGAAATGAAAAACTGATGAAATGGTTTTGTAAGAGAAGTTCTCAGTATTTATGAAGTCATTAAAGAAATTTAATTAAAAAACCTTGTAGTTTTGATATTCAATCATACGAGGGCATGCCCGAACCACTGTTACAGCTTTTCGATGACCAACTAGATCCAACGTAGTATCCCAATCCTAGTATCAAATGAAAGTATTTCCTTTCTTGAATAAACTTATTGAAAAATAAGTTTAGTACAAAATAAGTAACTGATAAGTAAGAGAATGAGGTATGTGAAAATTCTGCACAGAAATTCTCTACCTTTCGCCGTATCAAATGAGCAGTTGGCCCGGAGTTATTACTGGCACATGGCGCTATTAGATAAGTACCATCTGGTGACCAGTCTAATCGACAAAACATGGTTGACTGGCTACTCTGCAAAAACATAATATGCAATTATTCTTCGCGTTTCAAATTGTTTTTTGAATTTAAGTGAATGAAATAAATTTTTCTGCAAGAAATCTGAAAGACTGAAAAAACCGTAAATGTAAAAAACTGAAGCGGTAATCGATTAACTGATCGATTAATTGACATTTCAGTCTTAAAAAATTCCAGAAATTCTTATGATTTCCTAATGGGTGATGGCTTACAGCTGTAAAGCGCTAGTAATTTTTCTTTAACAAACCTCAATGAAAGGATCCATGACTACTTTAATGCATTGCCAATTGTCAGTTGTCCAGATTCTCACAGACTTGTCAGCAGACTGCGTAGCGAGAAATTTTCCAATTGGGTCCCAGCTTACTCCCTTCACAATACCCTGATGTCCACCCCGTTCGACTGTTAATGATACCACTTTGTCTGAAAATGAAATTTCATCACTTACCCATTCACTCGAATGACCTACAAGGCAAAAGAAAAAATTTCCGAAGTTCTTTAAGCATAGGGATTCACAAATAGCAAAACAATGACATTCCAAAAAAAAAAACATACTCGGCAAATTATGAGCGTCCCAAATGATCACAGCATGATCCATTCCGCAAGATGCAAGATAGCGGCCATCTTTAGACCATTCAAGATGTAACACATCTAAAGAATGTCCATACAATCGATACTTTTCCCGATATTTTTCGACATTAACGGAATCCTAAAATATATTTTTATTTCAAACACAAACATTTTAACATTTGAATTAATTGCTTTGATTTCAAACAAAGATGTAAAGCTAATAACGATGATGTTTGAATAATGAAGGCTTCAAAAATCGATCATAAACAGTCTCCATAGTAATTAATTACGAATGATTACTTTGTATGAACAGAAAGAGTGACTGATTTCATTCGCAAAAAATTACCATAGAACCAATGGTTCCAGCACTAAAAACTCGACCACCAAATTCCCAGAGTGTTAGTGACTGTTGATCACCAGCACATCCAAGATATGTTCCATCCGGAGACCAACGAACACAATTAACACAATCTAAATTAATAAAACATTACATAGAAAATTTTAATAGCTGTATTCATTGCACATGAAAGCAAAGATTGCGGTAGCGTAGAGATATAATACCATACAAAAAAGGTACTTTATCTGTATATTTTGACAAGACTGTCTCAAAATGTCGAGAAGTTGTAAAATAATAGGAAATGAGACAGATATTTCTAGGTGACAGCAATTAAACAGTTCTAATTAAACTGGATGCAGAGAGCGTAACATAAGAATTCCCTAAATTACTTTGGTGTAGAATTCGAGAGAGTAATCGACTGCACGATGCCTCTTGACTAGCTTTCTCGTTAATCACTGGTTTTACATTCCAGATAATCACGAGGCCAGAACCACCTTCACCACCTTGTCCGCATGTGGCTATTTTCGTACCATCTGGATGAATGTCTACGGAGTAGATTGCACCACCTAAATTTGAAATTACAGAAAAAACGAAGATGTAAACTAACCCACTAAATATTTATCAAGCAAACAGGAACATTTAATGCATACATAACGTCAGTAAACGAAGCACTAGGAATAAGTCCTGAAAACCTCTATTTGCATGAATCCAATCATATACCTACCTGAGTGATGAATCCATACTGGATTCGTTAACTGCATCAATTTTATACCCACACAGAATCCTCCGAAAAGCAACACCCACCCGATATGCTGCTATTCTTACTATACAGTCAAAATCTCCTCGTCTGTATAATTTATTGGTTTTTCAGCAGACAACTTTCTGAAAATTTCATGACCGGATCAGCTTCGGTCTTCAAATACAACTTTTATTTTAAAATTATATTTCACAGCTGAGAAGACGGACTGGAAACTTACTTAAAACCATAATTTGAAGGACTAGTCTCTACTAAAAATGAGATCTTACACTTGTTTCATTTCCAATTTCATTTCCATCCACCTATCGTAATCTCAATTTAATTTACCAAAATTCAATTTTTCCAAATAATTGAAAAATTTGCCCTATATAAACAGTAGTATGCGATATGCTCGCTGCCACGCATTATATTGAATTTGTTGTAAGCAGCTACTTTAAAGTTTAATCTCCTTTTAGCTGGTTAAAAACTTTGATGGATTAATGATAGGCAGTGGTGACATTTCCGTAATAATATCGCAAAGCAAAATTGACACAAAGGAGCTAAAATTACTAGAAATTAACCTATCAAACATTTGAATAAAAAGAGCGTAAAATATAGTGGGAGATTAATCCACATAGACCATAGAGCAAATTACGACAAAATAATCTACAAATTATATCTCTATGATAAAAACAAACATCAAATAGTATTCCTGAGGTAGCGGAAGAATATAAGTATTATAATATAATTTCGCTGAAATATATGAGTCAAATTCTTCCTCTAACTTAAAGCAAGATTGTCTTCAGAAAAATTTTGGTGCTACTAACACAAATCAATTCGCAAAGCCAAAACAATAGTCCATAACTTCGCTTTTACAGAAAGATTAGCATTAATTTACATACGGAATCAAAAAAAGGAAAAGTCGCTTAAATGTCTTGACTATCGCTTTTGCTTCAGGCTTATGGTAACAACACTTTCGATGATAGAGAAAGGAAAGGAAGACAGAGTTAAACAGCATGATATCGTTGTGTTCTTTGCGCATTCCCAACCTAAAGTGGGAATCATATCCTAACTTGTCTTCACTAAAATCAACTGGAAGTCCTTTTAAAAAAAGTTCTACTAATTAGTTAAATTCAAGTTTCCCCGAAATTCAGAAAAGTTAAAGACCCTGAAATAGTGAGTGCAAAAACTCATTCTAGTTAACAGAAAATTCAAACCAACACCAACAAAAACCAATCATAATGAGAAAAAAGTGTAAACAAAGGTGAATCAAGAAAAATTCTAGTGCTACATCATATCACATTTCTAGTATTATCTCATCATACGAAAACTGCACGTGGAAAAAACAAACCGCCTGCAGAAGAGACCGAACATATCGCACTTAGTTATCATTAGATATGATATTGTATCAATTTCCCAACACGATTTTATTAAGGATTAATTACTGGAAAATAAATGGTCAAAAACAACATGTTGCATCTAACATCTTAAAAACGTTAGTGGAAGAGACAGCATAGAAGTGGCGATAATTTATAAATGATGTGGTATTTAATATATCATCAACACACTTTTATATTTGAGAGATAGCAAAACAATAACAACGATAACATGTTTTCTACATTATTTCACATTATGTTTTATTTAATCGTTTATCGCTGAAATGTTCTCAAATTATTTCCATTATCACTGCCTTGATGGTACCGGGAATTGCATCAGTTCAGGAGCTTTCCAGATTACCTCTACCTACAAAATAATTATATACAAAATCCAACAAAAGAGGAAGAGTTTTTGGAATATTCTAGATGATATTTCTAAAAGTTCCAATGAATGAATGAGCAGCAAAAAATAATGTTAGTGATAGTAAAAATCATTAATTTATTTGTCTGCAATATTTCCAAGGTAATCCCCACAAGTTTTTTTCAGCTCAATTGATCAGTGATGTCAAACCGAAATTAACAGTTATAAAACTCATAGCAGCTGTATTCGTTGAAAATTATGGTCGTTGAATAGTGCATAGAGTAAGGAAAAGAAATGAAAGTGAGACAGATATGACGGAATTAATTCCACGCGAAGGATGAAAATGTTTTAATGCTGTTATATAGAATAAACAGTTGCTTCAATAATAAGCAAATACTTTGTACAGAATATTTGAGCACCAAAAACATCAAGCAAAATGTACACTGAATAGTTATGCAAGGAAAAATTACTCGCTATATCAGAAATCAGAACTTATTGTTCGGTAAAATGCAAATGATGAGTTCGTGGACAGTATTGATATCATACACTTTCACAGCTCGCTATATTTAATTTGTTTACTGCTATTCTAGTTTTCCTGATATCCATGCTTATTTTATATTTTCATCATTATCTAATATTTTCATCATTATTTATATTTTCACCATTATCTAAATTTTCATCATTATCTTTCCACGCCTTCTAATTGACTAATTATATGAATGTTTTATTGATTTTGAGTTCTCGAAATATATTTCGCATAAAAAACTATTGGTGAGAAATTCTAGGTAACAAGGTAATAAAGTTCTAGGTAATTCTAAAAACACTTCCCTTAGACTACGATATTTTTGCTTTCCATTACTGTCGAGATTCATATACAAACATTTCATTGATTTACAAACTAAAAAGCAAAAATAATTTCAAACTAAAGAACTACTTATGTTTCTTATGTTTCATTCCCAAAGGACAATCTAACACAAAATGTCCAATTCGTCGACATCGGTGGCAACAGTTGCGATCCAATGGAGGACCACTACCCACACGACAGTTTGAAAGCAAAGCAGACTGAAAGAATCAAGGAACGAAAATTTGAAATTAAAACAAACAAAATTTTTGCACCAATTTCATTTCTTGACAAATCAGCATAATAAAAATAAAGGAGTTAATAAGACAACATGTTAAAAAAACCGACCGAAAAAAAATAAGGCTTACCGCATAAAGCATAAGTGAATTGTGATTTAGCTTTGAATTTGGGACGAATAAGGTACTAAATTTTTCCCGACTCTGTATAAATGATTTCTGTATATATGCCATTGCTGAAAGTGAATCTGAACTTAATTAAATTATACAATTTCCCATCATGTACTCATTAACCTCAGGGTTAATTAAAAGCTAGTAAAAAGTTTTGTTATATTAAACCTACCAAATTAAATTATACAATTTCCCATCATGTACTCATTAACCTCAGGGTTAATTAAAAGCTAGCAAAAAGTTTTGTTATATTAAACCTACCAAATTAAATTATACAATTTCCCATCATGTACTCATTAATCTCAGGGTTAATTAAAATAGCAAAAAGTTTTGTTATATTAAACCTACCACTCGGAAAATAACTAAAAAATAAGATAGTTTTGAACATCAAATGGTTTAAATTAAATAATTTCCGTTCGATTTTTAAAAATCAAATACTTTCAATTTAATTTTTTAGATTATTTTTTTCATATAATAACTTATTTAAATTAATCTCGCTAACAAGCATTATCAAATTGTAGTGACAATAACTTCTGACACTTCATTCGTTGTTTCATTCTGCCTGTGCCAGGCCATTTTAATACTTGCTAATAATTTTTATAAACCATCCAAATTTTGCTTACTTTTGGAATGAACACCTGAGGAAAGATTATGAGTGAGATCAAATGGATCTTCAATGGCAATCGGTTTAGACTGCCAGCCTTTGTCCAGCTTCATTAGCGGTTGAGTTTGTCGAATTTGTATAACTTCTTGTGCAAAATCAAATTTCGTCCCAAAATAATCCAAAAAGCCTATCCACAATTCCCCAACAGTTGATTGGTTGCAAACTGTCCATTCCTAACGCAAATCCATAATATAGATAGTAAAAAGGCAACATCGAGAAAAATGAGACTTAAAATGATCAAGGTGAAGAACGTAAATGAAGGAAAATGAAATGATAAATGAAAAGAAAGAGGAAGGGATAAAAAGGACAAAATAGGAATATAGGAACTGACCAAATCTTCCAAACTACAAAAGTACACATCGCAGTCGTCAATTATTATTGGTTCTCTACATTTTCCACGTGGTGCTATCTGAAAGAAGGTTATCGTATGCTTATAAAATACTGAATAATTACAAGGTTTATATAATATGATGTCATTAAGTAAGCAAAAACAAAATAAATAGAAAACAAAATAAAAATAGTTTTAAAAAAATGAAAAATAAAAATTCGAAAAAACACAAAGAGAAACGAACTTCTTGGAGGAATGGAGCAACTGGCGGATTTGTTCGTTGAAGATAGTGAATAAGCATGATGATAAACGAATATGACGACAGACTTCCCTTCGATGCATTTCCAATTTCGCAAGCTTTAGCCCAAATTTTAGTCATTATTCCTAATTTGTGGATTCGTCTATCAAGCATACTGTATGTCCGCAGCAAATTTGTATTCTCTAATGCTAGCACATTATACAGTGATACACTAAAAATCACCGAAATCTAAAGGAATGTGACATTTTTTGCAGTTGAGATACTCGAGAATATTTTAAATCAAAAATTGTGTATTTTAAAGATATTCAATAATTTCTAAAACCGTAATATAATTACTCAGATCTGATTGGAAGACGCGTCTGAACAGTTATACCACAGTTCTTATTTTTGTCAGCAATTTCAACGATCAAATAGAAAAATGAGACACACCCTTTACATGTAAAATACTTACTCTGCTTCAAGATGATTACGACAACGAAACTTCACGATTGGTACTTTAGCATGTAAAATTTCAGAGACGAATACAACGCCAGGCATCTTACGAACTGCTTCAGCGACTTTACATATGACTTCTGCCGAATCGATATCCTATAAAAATATTTCATATCTACTACAAAATCATCAAAGCTGCGAAATCTATATCATCTGAAATATACAAAAATTATCATTATTGATTTTTATATATTTTAACTGGAAAAATGGAAGATCAGACTTATAAAAAATTATTTTAAAATTACTTCAGGCCTCACTCCTGGTCCGAATCGAAGACAAATATCAGCATCTGAACCTAAAAGACCGAATCCATTTCCAGCTGAACCGAACAATGAAAGATGACAATCAGTACGATAAAAACGACGAAGGCAATATTCCAGTTCGCGACATAACGCTGACATATTGTGCACATAATAGGGTCTTATTCGCATTGTATCTGAAAAATATATTTGATGAAAATTAGAATCCCTGTAACTTGCTAACATTTATTTCGCAAACATCTGATATTCTTTCCTACTGAAAAGCCTGATTTATTTAGTTCTTTTCTACAATATTTCTTCGCTTTAATTTCTTTTATTTCGGAATCATTTCTTTCCTTTTCTTTTCTGACTTTAGCACAGCTTTTCTTCAATTATTTCTGAAACAAGAAATTTGAATTTGGGAGAGAAAAGATTTAGGAATGCAGAAAATGCAGTTAAACTTCTCCACACTCTTCTATGTTTTAGATTTATCTCTTATAAGAAATAATGATCAATAAGGAAGAAATGCAAGATTTTAGAAAGTGCAATTTTGAAAAAAACACCCATGGATCTGAATATATCAGTTGACGAATGCAACTTTACCAATACATTTATCTCTATAAAAAACTCAAAAACTTCAAAACTTTAATCTAAAAATCTCGCTTAAAATGAATTACTGAAAATATCGAAGATGACAAGATCAATTATTTTTTTTTGTGCATTAGTTAATGGTGGGAAATTCTTGGGTTTTGGAATCATGAGTTCAGGACAGTTTTCTCGCAAATGGCCATCTACACCACAACATGTGCATCGTACCACTGGTTCCTGCAAAAAGCATGCTTTACAGCGAGGACTTATACTTTAGCGAGGCAACACTCTACACCGCAAATCGGCATGGAATGAAACAGTTGAAAATGCGTAAGTTTTTTAGATTATTTCCCTAGAATTTCAAATTGATTCCAACTTTCAACTTTCCTTGTTTAAACTGTGTAATTTCTTTGCTACATCAATCTAAACTAACATACCAATCCGCCATTGAAGTAATGCAAAGCCCACGAATAATTATATTCACTATTATTTAAAGCCAGCCATAACTTGCGAACAGACATTTCGTCATAATCATAAAATCTGATTTTCAAAATTGAAGCACTAGCAAGTCTAGCCTCAGCCAATTCCGTTTTTTCCTGAAATTCACTGTTGAAAATCTTAATATTTCTAATTTAATAAAAATGAACACAACAATTAAAATTCATTTGAAGGAACACTACAAACATAAACCATTACGAAAGCGTACGTCGTATTCTTCCCTGACATAAAAATTATGGTCAGCCAGTGATAATTCGAGTTCTTTCATTTGCTGAAACAAAGCAATGCAAATTTCAATGAGGCCTTCATTTTAAAGCGACTTTAAAGTTAAGTAAGCTTAGTATTAATGTCAATAAAACAAGTTATAAAGACAATAAAATCAACTTGCTCTATAAATAAAAAATAAGGTTTGAAAACAAGCACGCTCTAAGAAATTTCTGGCGCCAATCATAGTATTTTGTGGTCAGCACACAAAAATTCGACAGTTTCAAACTCACTCAGAATGAAAATACTTCGAAGTTCCAAGATTTCAAAGAAGTGAAACCAACTGAAGGAAGCTCCGAGAAGTGAATATTATGCTGCTGGGGAGTTGACGTCACATTATTATCACAGTATGTTTCATCAGCATCATCTCTTTGAAAATCATTATAAGACATATTCAGATCGAGGCGTGAGCTAGCGTAATCGGAAGTTAATGCTTTCAAATCCTGGTACTTCCCAGATGTCAAAGAATTCTCATCGTTCTCATCCTTCAAAAATAAGAAGCAAAATAACATTTTTTTTGGAAACCTTTTACTGAAAGATTGTCATGATTCAAGCCATAATTTGCTTAGATTGAGTCTGTGAAGTCAGCCAGTTTCTTCGGCTAAGAGCGATTTGCCAACATTGAAAAGATTTACCGCTTTTAACTATTGCCAAGTTAAAGTCGTACCAGGGACAGACAATTAAAGAAGGAGTAAATAGACTCCTAATAGCCAAATGATATGCTTAATTACCCCAAATCTCACTTATTTACATCACCCTCCCATTGCTGCTGTCGTGTATTTATCGGCAGCAAAATTCTACTGCTGCAATTTACTTGCACTATTGCTATTGTAACTTCACTCATCTAAAATTCCGAGAAGTATTAAAAATTTATCTACTGTTACTGTAACTTAATTCATCTAAAATTCCAAAAGTATTGAAATTCATCCCATTCGCTAGTTTCTCTTTCCATCTGATCTCTCCTGCATCGTTTATTCTTACTTTCGTTTATGAAAAAAGTAAAAATATTATTAGAGAACAGATAACTACAGGAATCGAGGTAAAAAATTTTTACAACTAATCCACAAAATTGACCATTTTATGACGAAAAATTGTTTCCTCAGGCTCTAAATTATCTCAGGATGCAAAACCGCAACCAGGAACCCAAAAATTTTTTGGCAATACTTTATTATCGTATTTTGGAATAAGGCTTTTTTCATCATAAAACTTACTTATAAAATACATTCATAGTTGGCGTACTACGATATCCAGTCAGGAAAACTAAATTTCGAAAATTACCTCGTGTTTCCAGATCTGCGTCGTAGTTTCCAATCCAACTTCAGTTAACACATTAATCTCTTGCTTACTTGTATTTGCTTCTGTGATTTGTGTCTTACTCGTTTCCAGATTTTTCACGTCTAAAAAATTGAAGTAAAAAAATTAGAGAAAAGAAATATCAAGCTGTGGAAACTACTGTTATTGGAGACGCACCAGTTTTATTTAGGAAAGAAACCATTGTATAAATTACCAATGTCGTCCGAATCACTCCTATTATTTTGCTGATCATTACTTGGTGCAGCTTCATCAGTGCAGGAATCATTCAATAACGTGGTTTTTCTCGATCTCCGCTTGCGTTTCTATAATGACATTGAAATGAAAAAGAGTGCTTTAAATTCAATTAAAAAAATAGAAAGTTACATTACATGAAAATTTTTTCATACAATGGAGAAAAACCACCTTTTTCTGTACATCAACGGTTCCAGGCGTTACAACGGAATAGGGAATTAGCGAACAAACTACAGTGCGCGGTAAAGCAAAATAAAAATAAGTAGACAAAAAGCAGCTCGAGAAATAACCATTAATACGCTGCTGAGGTTGCATTATGTGGTCTGGAGCGAATGGATCTGAAGAACAAAAATATATGACAAAGTTATGCTTACATTTCTTAAAAAATGCGATTATGGAAAACATTATTTTAATTCTATTTCTCTTCAACAGTGCAAGAATCTTTTGTATAAGGAAAAAATATGATTTTAGCATGAAGAAATTCGAAAAATTAAAAACTAGGATTATTTTTATCTAATTACTGAAATTTCATTAAATAATCACTAAACAATCAAAGTGAAATAACCTTCAACCGCAAGCCGCTTCCTGTTCCATCGTGTGCAGTTTTCGAACAAATATCGTTTTCGCCAACGTATTTGTATTAATTCTTCAACAGGGTGTTCAATAGCATAGTAGCGGAATAAACCAATCCAAAGTTCACCAAAATTCCATTCTTCACCACCGGCATCAAAGCTAGTATTCTAAAACAAACGCGAAAAGTAAGTTTTAAAAATACATTCCATTTCACAGAATTTAAAAAGAGAAGAACATACTATCTTATTCATTTGATGCTCAAATTGGAGACTTTCGCTGTCTAGCAATTGTATTTCTTCTTCATTTAGGATCTGCAAAGATTCTACTTGATCGCGTAGTATAAAATAGATACAAATTAGTTGGCCTAAAGTAAGCATTAGATATCTGAAATTTGGATATAGGTATTATTCTTTCCTGCTAAACATCCCTATTTCTGAATTTCTGACAAAAATAAACCGAGCCTTTAATTAAGCCTTTATATAAAAATTGAAATTTTCTGGAATAATTTATAAATATACCTCGAAGACGAAAGGAAGTAATCCCTTGTGCTGTAGATAATAAATTAATATGATATCGAACGCAAGTTTTGGCAAACCACCCAACTGCACATTGGTTAACGAACACAGCTACAAAAATATTTGAAACAATGAGAAAATTGAACTTATTTTTTTAACTTTGCTCTTGAAAAAAATAAAAAACAATCATAGCAAAAATATTTGAGAAGAGATTCTTAAGAATAAAATTTAAGAAATGCAGTACCACTGGATGGTCTCGACAGCTTACATGAAACAGTGTGCTTCAAGCAAAGCCGACTCTAGCCGCATTTTATTCATCTAAGTGTACACTATGTTCTAAATAAAATGCAGAAACACACGATGAAGGATTGTATTCTTACACATTTCCTGAACAATTCTAAGGACACGAATATTCGAAATACAAAAAAAGTTTACAAAGTAAAAATTAAAATTTATCTATACCTCAGCCCATGAACGAAAGACAGTGGCAAGAATTCTAAACTGTAAACAAATCGCACAATACAAATTAATAAGCTGAGTAGCACGCTGCTGTCGAACGCAATTTGTTGTAATAACAACTGCAACGGAGTTTACAACGCAGTGAATCGAAGGATCTGGGCGTTGGAAATCGGAAGTTATAGAATGGATAGTAAAATCCTTCCCTGAAAGGTAAGAATTCATTTTTTTATTCCATTACATCAGGCATATGATTCAAAAAGCGAAAGAGCACATAAAGAAAAAATTACCTATTGCTATATCATTTAGAATATTCTTGACCCATGACAATGTGTAACCAAGTGAATATTCCTCTGGGAAATTTAATGCTAAATTCAAATCGCTCCGCAGAGTAGCTAGCTTCGTCAAATATGAACCGTACACCATTACCGAAAAATCTGCATGTTTCGAAAACGTTAGAACGAATTTTAATACAGGATTCAAAGTCGTAAAATCCTAATAAAACCAAAGAGACCCTACATCTGAATGATTATGTATCATATGTTGCCTTCAGCCATCCAAAGTATTATAGTTTCAAATTTGATGAAAATAAGTTATAGAAGCCTTTATGATTTTAAGCAGAGCTGGCCAATACAGACGTGAGCACAACTTTGATTGGTCATGATAATTTCAAACTGGATCTAATATTCAACTACGAAATTAGGAAAAGCACACTTTTACGGGTTTCGCTTTGCAAAAAATGTGATAACAAGTTTGCAATTTGTGACCCGACTTCATATTGTATATCCGTGAGCCTCGTGAAAACATACAGTTCTCGAATAATCTGATCTATTTTGAACATTTGCTCTTTGGCCGGTTCTGGTAAACATTCTAATTTTTTTAGCGACTCTTCCTTCTATAACTGTTTTTTATTAAGTCAAAGAACTATAATCCATGATGACTATAGCACGTATGACATATGCGGAAAAAAATACGGCCTATAAAAATTTGAAATAATATAAACATGGAGACCTTATACTTAACGAAATCTTTCCAGCTTAAAAAAAATCCCCGCCATAAAAACTGTGACTGTTTAGAAAATTTCTTTAATATAGTTAAACAGTAACCTCCTTATTGTCAATGTGTTCTCGTGATAAGAAATGTGTTATTGCTTGAGAAATTGAACAGATGTGATAGTGGCATAATCCGCAGTAGTAAATAGCTCGTGGGAAACGTGAAGATTTCTTCTTTAGCGGGTAAATGTACTGCTTCTCCAGGTAACGTAAAGAGTATTTACTTACAGAATAGGGTAGCTTTTCGCCTAAAGCAAAATATTTCATTGAGCCCGTTGCATTATTTTCTAAACAATACCAATTACTGAAGGAGACTTTAATAAAAAGTCAAATTCAAACAAGTTTCACATTCACCAGGATAAAATGAGTCACGAGATATTTGCTCCAGTTCCTCAGCTAAATCAATAAGAACACGACGCATTACTTCAACAGATGTATTTTCATGTAATACAGCTGACGCACATATCTTGTATCCACCTCGAGTTACCTGTTTGGGATCTTCTAACGGGCCGCAGCATTCAAACAAGATAAGTTGGAGGAAATCTTTTCCTTCTGGCTTATCAATTTTGAGCTGAAATTTGTTGGAAAATTAAATGCAAAAGGTACCTGACAATGTTGCCATGAATATTATGGTGAAATAAAGGTACTAAGAAATCAAAAATTTACCTCCACTTTGCCATTTTGAACAAATTTATGCAATCCAGGCATTAAATTAAGATCGTTAAAAGAATCTTTTCGGATCAAAAGCGGGCTGTCCTTCACTGATATCTAAATTAAACTAGATTCATTTCGAGATAAAAAATCGATGGCGGAATAAAAAAATGCTGCAAACTACCACAAAAAGATAGAATCCACAACCCAATCGCAAAATTTAAAAGACAAACCTCGACTTCCTTCTCTCTGCAAACGTTTATATCCACCTCCATCTGTTCTTTGTTTCTTGCAATTAGATTACTTTCGGCAACTTTAATGAGCTTTATGCTCTCAGTCAATCCCGAAGTTTGTTCTACTGTTCCATCGAACTCATTGCAATCATCTATTTTTTCAGTTGAATTATTGTTCAGTGAAGCTGTACCTTCATTTTCTAGAACACCGGCATCATCAGTTCTCCTAGAAATCGCATTATCTAGAAGTCTTCTTCTTTCTAATTCTTCAGAACCAGTTAAATACTTTGGAACTTCATTTTTGACCAGCGGCGATGCTTCTAACTGCTTGTTGAAATCATCATCCTGAAATGAATAAACACAAATTTTGTTATTTAATTAAAAATCCATGCATCTTATGGATGCAAATATTTAACAGAATTAGTTATAAAAGCAAAAAATTCTTTAGATTTTTTTTACATTAAAAAAACAAGCTACCTAATATCCAAGCTCCCTGGTCATGACAGTCATGCAATTTGCGAGAGGACCTCAACATCGGACAATTTAGAGTATTTATTAATTTTTAAAGACTATTAAAGTATAAAGCCATAAGATTATTCCTTTTATTCTTTTTCTTCCTCGATGTTTATTCTCTTGCCATAACTTATAATTTTAACATTCAAAGAGGATTTTTAAATGATTTTAAAATGAGATTATATTGGTGAAGGTACACAGCTTGCACACATTGAGCGTCATCGATATCACCCACCTGTTCCAGCAAAGCAAACTCAGTACTAGCTTCCAGATTTTCGCTTCCTTCTTCGTCACTTAATGATATTACATCTGGCTCATTGCTGTTTGCAATGGCATTTGCATATTCTTCAGTTATGGAAGTACTGGCAGCAAATGTTGTCAAATGAAACTGCAAATTATTTACTTTTAATAAGCAACCTTATTTGCCAATGTTACATAAAAAAATAACCAAAAATGTGCGAACACAATAGCGCGTTACAATGAGAAGTGAAATAAAAATGCAGATTATATTAATATTATGAAAAACTTATAGACCGAAGAATCTTTTCGCCTGTTCCTCTTCTTATTGTGTTTTCTACGGTCAGAACCCATGTCTGGATGTTCCCAAAAATCACGAAGTTCTGAATTCACTGCAGACAGTACATCGTTGACTTTCCAGTTCAAATTACTGCTGTCCTATACATATGTGTTGTTAGAATCAAAAAAAATTTTCCTGGAGATAAAAATCCCTAAAATAATAAGATGTATCTTGATTTGAGCAGAAAGCATTTAACTGTGGGCATGAGATAAAGCTCACCTGAATTACAGACTGTATTCCTGTACGTCCACAGACAACTTCGGATCGGGCAAACCCATTTTTAGCTGCGATCAGAGGTGCCTCACGCGTACCATTCGTTGCAGGAAAACGTGATGTCTTTCTTCTTCGAGGAATTCCTCTTCGCTTATTGATATTTCTCGAAATTTCCTGCTTTCCCTAAAATAATGAGACAAAAGACAATATACAATCCTTGAGAGAACAGAAACAAACAATTTATTTCAATGAATTCTATAAATTTTACCACTATCTTATTTCTTAATACAGCTCCTGTCCACAGCCCACTAACAATCCTTTTCAGTCAATAATTTTCAATTACCAGTTGCAGTGCGATATTTAACTTTCATCTGGATCTGGAGTTACATTTTAGAAATCCTGCGATTGAATGATACGACTATACATTATGGTTTGATTTTAAAGATTATATCAATGGTAAGTTACTGTTCGAGTAGATTGTGAGGTAATCGATGCATCACTGTTGATCTCTTTTATCTGTCTTCCTTCTTGACCTGTAGTAGCGTGCTTCGAACTGTCCAGACCTCTTGTTGTTGCAGATTCCATCTCTCAGTAATCGAATTATATCTAATCCTTTACACACCTCCTACAAATAAATCATCTTCCCGAAAGAACACTCTGATTTTAACTACCACTGATTTAATGCTGTCAGAAACAATACGGTCACCCAACGCAAATTTTCATCCCAACTTTCAAATTTTTCGATGATAATTTAGAGTGTTCATAATGAGATAGTTATAAATTTTTTCAAAGATTTATTCATAATTTTATGTAAAAATTGTAAAAACAAATATAGATAAATGTATAAAAGAGATAAGGCAGTTAAAGCAAATTTATTATTACGTTCAGTTAAGATAAAGTAGGCTCTTGTGTACGGCGGCATGCTTAAATCGTTGCAAGTATTCGTGTTCCCATTTCTGGCTCTTGTCACCGGTCTTGTGTTAGATGCTACAAATTGTCGCATCCGATTTCTCCGTATACCGGATACTATTCTCATTTTTCTATTCGCCCTTGGCACAAGGTTTCATTCTCAAATATCCTCGAAACGTAGTTTTACGAGCCGCCTCACCATACATCTGTGTGTAATAATACTTATGATATTTATTCCTATTGAAATTTATTACGCATTGACATTAGCTCTGCTGAAGAGCGAAAATTAATGAATTGAAATTTATTGGATGATTTATAGCATACTTTACCTCCAAAAATAATGCAATATTTCAGTTTCATTCTTCACTTATTCTTCCCTCAGAATTTGATGACACATATTGATGAAACATATACATGGAAGACCGTTGAACCAGGCATCGTTGTTGGAGTACGTTTATCATATCAACAATAACCAGTGATTCAGTTTACTGAACCATACTGAATTTTTTTTTGGTTAAGCCATTCGGTCAGAATCAATTTTCATTTAGGTTCTTCTACCTCTACTTATTTTTGAATCTGCGGTAAAAAGCAATTCACATCTATTCTTTCAAAAGCAATGGCTACTATTCGCGTTGACTGCTACTGTCTATTTATTAACACTAATATTATATACTGCTCTAATGCTACCGTTTTTACGGATTATAGACAATTGGAATATATTCACGGTTGGTATGATTTTCACTGAAATGATTTGCCGGTTTTAATAGAAATTAAAAATTAAAATATAGTTTTTGAATTTGAATTAACATTAGATGAGAGAGGTCTTCAGTATTATATTTCTAGTGTTGTTAGATTACATGCTATAATTTTGATCTTTCCTTCACCACGTATGTACGTGTATTATTCTCCCCACTTATCATAGATACCACTTAGAAGTATGCCAAATCGGTTTTGGCGAGACAGAGTTTACGAGATAAGTTTCCATTCCAATGAATAAGTTTCATCTGCTTTCCACTCTAACGCATTTTATTTTCTCAATATTTTCTTGATCGAGACGAATTTCTACAAACTTTTTTTTATTTATATTATTTTTATCCATTATTTTATAAATTTTTGTTATACTTTCTTGGGTGACTTCTTTTAAAATAGCAAAAATGGGTTTTTTATTGAAAAGTATCAATAATGCTAAAAAAATTTCATCATATGGTATACCTTTATGTGCAGATTACGATTTGTATTTACTCTTTAGCTTAGATTGTCATAATTTTGACTAATTTATTTTGAACTGGCACTGATTATGATGTGTTGATTGATGTGTTCATTTTCAGATTTATTCTTTTTTTTCGTGAGCTCTGTTCATTTCGCAATCATTTTTCGCATATGCCATATTATTCATAAAACGCATATATTTTGACTTTTATTTATAGCACTTTTGAAATCCATAGTTGGAAGAAATAGAGTAGATTATTTGGATAATGATAACTTGAGATTATGCAGGTTATGCTTATGGGTGCAATTTTGGCTGCAACAGATCCTGTAGCAGTTGTTGCAATCCTGGAAGATATTGGTGCTCCACAACGTATTAAAATATTGGTTGAGGGTGAATCGTTGCTCAACGATGGCCTATCTATTTTCGTCTATCAAATTCTCCGCAATTTTGTTTTGGTAGTGCTTTCTTGTTTACAATTTTCTCTTAAGTGATAGAGTTACTATTAAAAGTGTATTTTTATTTTTCTAATTTAAAATATTAAATGCCCAGGATTACATAAACATGTCGAATGTACTAATGAAATGGCATATTAGATTGTAGTTTTAATTTACGTAAAACTTTCTTTGCTCTCTTTAGTAGTATTTTGATGCTTTTCGGTAGCACACTTATAATTTAGTAAAGTTACAGCATGAAGATGGAAACGTTGTTGATCTTACACACGAATCATTATTTGACGATGAAGATATTCAAATATTGATTGGTTCTTGAAAGTTCTTACTTCAAGTTCTTTTTCGATTTCAGAAGGAAATAAATTTGCCATCTTATCCGTACACTTTTGTACATTACGCAGCAATGTGCTTAAGCTGTATCGTAATATCACCGCTGTTGGGATATACTAGTGCTCATCTTACTGTTATGATCATACGGTATGGTATTAGTGAAGAGAAAAGAATTCAGGTTATTCATTATTTCTTCTCCCATGTTGCTTTTCATTGTAATTTTAACACTGGAAATTGCTGTGATTGGATGAAATATTCTGTATTATCTGCCACTTTCGTGAGATACTTTGTGGAATTGCCGCTGTTCAAAGTTTAATTAGAAGTGAACTGTATGTTCCTCCACAATACAAAAGATTTTTTCTTTGAATAATTCTTGCTTAAATTTTTGCAGTTTCAGATGTTTTTGGTGATTTCGGTATACTTTGTATGGCAATTAGGTGAAATAACCAAAGGATCAGCCGCTGTAGCCACTGTATTTTATGGTGTTACACTGAACTATCTTAGGTGAGATGATTGTCACTGAACTATCTTAGGTGAGATGATTGTCACTGAACTATCTTAGGTGAGATGATTGTCCTACAATATTTTGACTTAGGAAAAATCAGCGATGGGATTCGATGAAGTTCCGTGAAGTTGGAAAAAACTGATGAGAAGTACGAGGGATTGAACTTCTAACTGTTTTCAATTTTATATCAATTCCAGAAATTCAGATGAAACCTTCAAAAATCCTTTTTGTTCTGTATTGCATTTGTAGAGAAAGATTAAATCCGAGAAGTGTGGAATTAACTTTGCAAATTTGGACAGCATTCGGTTATTGGGCTAACTGCATCGTATTCATGTTCAGTGGTTATGCCATCGGTCTGTTGCTCTTCAATAATTCGGTTGAGGTGGATCCTTGCTTGTATTTTTGCTTTCTACATTTTATAAGCAAAATTTTACAAGCATGCTATCATTTCGGGAAATTTGACTATTTGAGGCCTTCAAGTTTTTGAATTGACAGGTGTGATAGACCGCATTGCTCACAAAGGAAGTATTAGATATGTTATGTTTAGATCGATGTAATCTATCATCTGATCTCCGGCATACTGTTATTTCCCATATCATTGGTGGCTCGTATGTTAGCGTTGGTTGTATTTCGTGAATTATGGAATGCACTTGACAGTTCTCACATTGTCTATGATACCGATTACGTCCTTTTGGCTTATGGTGGTCTGAAAGGAGCATTGGCACTTCTACTAGTACATGAGTTTACTGAAAGTGTTCAATATGATCCGTATGCCCGTCGAGTTGGCGAGAAAGTGATACTTTATGCGAGTTCCGCTGTGTTCGTTTGTTTGGTGGTTCAGGTAGTTACTGTTAGTCAACTATCACTCTTTATATTGCATCTGTAATTATAGTTTGCAGGTTAGTACTATGCATTGATTTTTTATTAACTTTTTAAATTATTCAAGTAGTTGAAAAACGTAGGCAATTTTTTTGCCAAGTAACTAGCTCTCTCATCCAAAATTTTGTGAATACTACTGTCCTTTTCATAAAATACTGGAAAATTACAGGGCATGACATTTTCGCACGTTACTAATCGTGAAGGGACAAATCGCCGATCACGTTACATTAAAGATTCGGAGAAGAACGTAGAACGACATCTAAATCGTACGTTACGTGCAAATATAGCGGCAATGCGTCAGCAGGCTGACTCTTATCTTACAGAGGCCAATTGGACCGTTGTCAATGAGCAAATCGAAGCTAATGTTTTCAAAGTAAGTTTTTTGAACATCTATATATATGCAAGAAAAACGGAAGTACGACAAATTTACTTTTGTTTTTAAAGGATCGAAGCTTTTTAAGCTCTTTTAATTTTATATGTCATCATTCTTAATGCATCTTTTCCATACCGATGTCATTGATTATTTCAGTTCTTACAAAAGTGGTCGATAATATGTGATTTTCAGGGCTTTGCAAGCAATATCGGACAGTATTCGCGGGTGCAAACCAGCATGTATGATGAATCGATGAAAAGTATTGACAGTCAGTCGGTAGATGAGTCACTTCTTATGGTATATAATTTATTTTCATTTTTTCACACTCTTTTTTCTGTGCTAGAATCTCTTTTAAATTCTGACCGTTTCTATTTATCGAAATCTCTAAAACTTGACTATTTATAGTTTTTCAACATAGTTCTTTTAAAATTAAATGCCTAAAACAAACGACGCAAATTTTCTAAACTATAGAAGAAAGACGACAGTGATGTTTGTACTGGTTACTATAGCATTCTTCTTGCTCGAGTATATAGCCTTTGGACTTTGGGTGCGATTTCCGGACGAGCAGCTCATTTAGTAATCGACCTTCTGGAACATGGTGTTGACGAAGGAAAATTAACGTTAGATGACTTCTGCGAGCATCTGAATTCAGCTGATAACAAGTGGTACCATCATGTCGAATTGAAGATCCTAACAGTATTGCGGGTTATACTTTCAAAAATCACTTTAAAATCAAGGATATTCTTCATACTTCAAAAGCAGTATTTGTTAGAGTATCGTTTTAAATTAGGATATTTTCTTAGGTCCTCAAAAACGATTGTATAGTTCACTTCATTAAATGATTTTATTATTACATTTAATTATGATTATCTCGAAATATGTCAAACTTAAGTTTTCAAATTTTCAGTGTTGGATTGATACAAATACAAAGCTGAATCGCCTAAACTGGATGGGTATTCCATTCTTGCCTTATCCGATCCCCACTAATATTTCTGTTTTGAAACCGGCTCGATCTTTGGAATGGTATATATTTAGCAGTCAAAGAAGCAACTGTCTTCACTTCTTGTTTTTGCTTCCGTTAATTAAGAACCACCTTTAATTATTTAATACACTTACCTCCATGGGCGTGGCCGAGTATTATGGACTACTTTCTCAGCAACTCTTTTTATTCCCGTTTCACATCTTTTCTGATTTAACTTTTTTTAATTGAAGGTGGTGCATATTTTCTGCACTTTTGGCTACCATTCAGTCGATCCTGATTGCATTTGTCATTTTCTGGCAACCAGCAGTTGGAACCGATGTCAGCTATTCAGTCCTGATGTTCACATTTCTGATTGCCTTCATTTTTTTTGTTGAAGAAGTGGTACATTTTCATCGATTACGGAAACCAACATATCGAATGGTTGGTTAGCTATTCAAAATTATTTATCAATTTTCTATTCTAATTTCGTGTCAGAAATATTCACATAAAACTTTGTTGTGATGCTTTGAAGTAAAAATTGCTGGAATATCGAATCTTTCCGGAAACAACCGAATGTTTGCGACGAACCAATGTACAACCTTAAATAAATGTTATTTATTCAAAAAGTGATATTAAATAACTCCGTCAAGTTCTTACAATTTCCCGAAGCATTTACATGATTTTAGGAATTGGATCGTCTGCATATGCGCTGTTTTCAAAACGTGAACCGGATTACTATCGAGTTTATCCTATTTCTTGTTTATATATCATTAATTGTCGGTATCTGCATCGTCCTATCAATTATATTGGCCAAATATCCGAGTGGTTCATGTATACAAGATAACGGACAATGGAGAATATTATGTTAGTATTATCAATTTCTTTCTGGCTTTTTCGAGTTGCTATATAGCCAAAGAGAAAAAATCAAGAGAAACTCAACTTGTTAAAGCGATGAAATTTTGTTTTTTAAAATTTTTTGACTAAATCTTTTGCATAAAAAATTTGATATTTTGATCACCTCTTCAGTGTCTTTTTTGCATATTCATTTATATCTGTTTAAATTACTGAATTGTTTTTTTTTTATGCAAAATTGTTAGGGAATTGTTAGGGAATTGTTTTCTAGTTCACTAGAAGATTTATTTAGAGAAATTTTCTAGTTTCACAAAAGATTATTGTGATATTATTCTGAAATCTGGACATCTTGATATCTCCTTCGTTTTTTCATCTTTTCTCTTCTTTTTACTATCGTATTTTCAGACGTATGCAATACGATGCGCTTTATACTTCTTTCATTTATGGTACTTTTGACACTTCTGAAAATTCTGCGCATTACACCACTGTTCATTTTCACACTGCATGAATCATTGTATACTGCTGGTGTATGTTACTATTTGTTATCCTCATGTCCGCTTCGATATATATAATATCAATTGCTTTCATTCCTACATTAATTACTTTGTGCTATATGAAATTTTGATTTTATTTCAGCTCCTGCGTGTACGTATTCAACTCTCAGCACTTTATTTTCTTCAATTCTTGCTTAGTCAACCACCAGCAAAATTTACGTTTTTCCCGGGTGATTCCTATCATGTAGCATTAGGAGAGCAAAAACATTTGAATAAAATTGTGGATGCATTGATCCGCAAAGCAATGAAAAAAAACAAAGAAGTGGTTGATTTAATTACTGTTATAAAGACTAAACATGCCATTCGTATGGCTGCACAAACACTGGAGCACACTATTGTTGATTTGCAGAAGTTAGTAGAAATTACTATTTCATAAAGATTCGATTGTTAGCATATAACTTTCGGAGGTTATAATTATGAAGATAGCAGAGATAACTAAGTTTGAAAACTTTTGAAAAATTTTTATGCTTTAAAAATCTAATCAACAAAATTCTTCTGTAAATTATCCGAATGATTTTTCGTTTAAATGGTTGCGTTTCGTTAAACTAATTTTAAATTCTGGAAATTCAAATTATTCATGTATTTAGTGCATAGCTATTTTCATTGCAGGCAGGGATTTTTGCACCATGAATCAGTGCGGCAATGGGAGCGTTCTTTGAATCGTTTACGTGATCGAGGTGAACGTCTAATTAATTCTCCGGATCCGAGTTATCAGGATACTCTAGAATCCGTACATTGGATTCAGGCTATCGATAGTCAGAAAAGACAAGACTTAGTAGATAAATTGGTCAAATATCTTCAAACACAATCAGGAATTGAGCAGCCAAGCGGCCAATTGGTTCAAACATTCGGGAAGACAATGTATTTCATCAGGAAGGGTATTTGCAAGTTGGTTATCTATATTTGATGAAACAGTACTTATTTTGTTAAATTTCACTTGATTTAAGCGCAGTTTTTTTCTCTATAGATTTAACTAATTACATTTAATTAACTTGTTTATTTCGGCATTACTATTGATAAATGTTGTTGTTAATTATAGAGTAACCGAAATGACATTATCGAGGAGAGGAAAAGAGCATAAGCATGATTACTATGTATATCAGGGACGCTTTGTCGGGGAGCGAAATTTGCTGGATAAAAATGATTTCGTTTGTTTTCTTTTGGTTGCCAAGAATCCTTCAATGCTTTGAAATTTTAAATATTTTCTATACAATGAAATTTCGAAGTTTTCTATACAAATTTTAAATGTTCCGCTGCAGTAATTTTCAAGCTTCTTAACGATTAATAGTTTTGTCTGTGTAATTTGGTATAATACATTATGTTCGAAAAAAAGCAGACAAAAACGTTCAATTTGTTTTGGTATTCTTCTGAACCAAAGTTAAGAGCTTATTGAAAATTTTAAAAAGCTCTCATTTGGCGATATAGCTGAAATTTGAATGTCTGTCTAGTTGAGAAATTTGCATATTTTGTTAAATTGATAAATCTAATGCAAGCTTCAAAGATCGCTTGTTCAAAATTTTTATTTTCATTCAGTATGATCGAGTAAACTTAAAAATTGAATTTAGAAAAAGGAAAAATCGTCAAGAGCTTGTGCGATTGGTATAAATTTGTGTTTTTATAACCGTTTGATTAGAAATATATTTCCTTGTTTAACTCTGCGCAAACATATCTCTAAAAAATAATAATATTTTTAGAAAATCTTTTCAGTTTTTTCAACAACACATGAATTTGATCATTATTTTGTTTCAGCGACGTGAATCAGTGAAAAAACCAAAAGTTGAATATCGAACATCGACTGATTGTATATTGATTAAGATTGATGAAGATATAATGGATATTGTTCGCTCATTTGACAGCTCAATCGTTAGGGCAATATCGCGCAAGGAGCAAACAAGACGACTTATATATGAACTGAAAGAACAACATGAATCGTTTGTATTTGCTTTCTTAGATGGGGTTTCAAATCTATATTGCGCACAAAATATTAATAACAATTTCACAACTTGTCATTTTGTTACGTATGTAACCGGGGATTAGGTCAATTTATTGGAAAAGAATGTATTATTTGTAGTTGGAAGGATCTTTTCGAAATGGAAAACTTTGGATGAAATGTAAGCTTTATCCAGATTAATATTTTCAAAATTATCAATGTGGAATTTATAGAAATTCGTGTACTGAATTAATTGAAACTAAAATAATGTTGGATAGTTACTGCAGTTTCGCTTTAATAACACTGGATGAATTCGAAAAATTGTACACGAAACATGGATATTCAGTGGGCGGTCGAATAGATATTGAAGTTAGGGTTGGAAGGAAGCTTATTATTGGATTTCGAGCGATGATTGTTGCATTGAAACCTCCAACGAGCTTGGATGATCATTATCATATTCTGGGACCAGCTATTGTAACGTTAAAACCTGTTGGTGAAGATGTGAGATTTCTTTTATTCGTGAAAATATTGTGAGAAATTTGGACTGAACAATTAAATGATAATTGGTCCCGGAAAAAGTTGGACTAAAAATTGGTGCATTTTTTAGGAAGGAATGTTAGTCCTTATCGATGATGAGAGAAGTGCGGATCAGCCAACTTTAGATGTGGAAAGTAATATATCATTAGAAACTGAAACGGGAGAGCCGGACAAAACATCAAGGAAAAAGGTTAGTGCTAAAATATGTTGTGCTGACCGCTTCGTTGCTTTTTGATAAAATTTTCAGTAGTTGTCTAAAATTTTACATTCTAGTTATTTCTCTGACAAAATTGTTTTCGAAATTACAGGGTAATATCAAAAAGAAAATAATGTCAACAGCTTCCAGGACTACGGTAATATTCACATTCGTGGCTGAACGCATAGAATTCGGGATTTATTCAAATAGCAAAAAAATTTTTTAAATGCGAGAAAAATCTTCAGTAAAAATTAAATTGCTTCATTTAGACAACCCTTCCAATCATTTTGGAGAAGGCTAAATCACCGCTTGGAGAACTGTAGAAGATAAAATTGGAATTAATTAGACCAGTTTTTTTGTTATGCAAATTCGGATTGCATTACAATTGCAATCTTTATGAGCATAATAATAGGATGACTACGCACTGTTTCGCAACTTCATGTTATTTTGTTCAAGTTTCAACATATTTTTGTGACAACTGATTAGGCTAATAATACGATAGTGCGCAATTGTTTACAGCGGAGACATTGTACTAAGAAGCTCGAAATTCAAAAAAACATTGGCTGACATGCATTCCATTCTAAAATACGGCTTATTTCAGACTAAAATAGAAGCGAAAAAATTACGGCCAACTTCGGAACGGACTCAAATGACAAGGAAGACAGAAGCAAAACCTGTAACACAAATACCATCATTAGACACAGCAGGAAGGAAGACATCAGAAACACAATCGGAAGAGGATAATGGGAATCAACAGAAAAGTTTAGGAACTGCCAGAAAATTAAGAAAAATGGGGGAAAAGTCCACACAACGATACTTGGAAGCCCAACACACTCAAGAAGAAAAATTCAGTAGCACAAGCGTTAAAAGTTCCAGTAGTGAAGGTATTAACATCTAAGCGATTTAAAAATCATACCATCAATCATATCATTTCTCGACATTTTTTGTACTGGTGCTAATTAATCGTCCAATTATTTTCTGCACTTCTTCCATCCTCCAAGCCATTGAATATGTCATTCATTTACCAAACTTTTTAATATGTGAATTAAGTCAATAATATCAGGAGTGGTACATCATTTCTAACATGCTAAAATATCCGTATGTCTATTCTCGAGTTGCTTTTTTTTCAGCGCCAGTAAAATGAGCACCTATCAGAAAAGAAAGAAGCTAAATTAATTGCTATAAATCAAAGAATTATACATTTTACATATATTTAAACTATCGGTTCTAGAAAATTTGTTACATGGAAGCTTCAAATTTTATGAATAAAAAATTCTTAAAGAATAGAATCCAATTATTTTCTTCTGTTCAGCATCTTTATTGTAAGAATATGATACCAGAAGTACCTCACCCCAACGAACTCTATTAAATGCTGATAGAACTGTATATACGGTTACTTAACTGATCTCATGACAACATTCTCCGTCACACTTAAGATGGCATCTAAAGTTAATCTACCGATTAATTTCTTTAAAGGGAAGAAATCTCCTATGAAATCATTTTTATCATCAAAAACAACATCACCCAATTAATGAAGTTAGAGTTCATTTTAAATTACATTGCAATAAACACTTTTCCTATTTAACAATGAAAATTTGACAGTTTTAAAACGTGAAATTGCAAGCAACTATTACAATGAGCTCTTAATTAGAAAACATTGATGGAAACATGAATTATCAACTTATTGTATGAATAAGCAAGACAACAATAAAGTAGTTTACAGTTTGATGTGCAGGATATATCTATCTTGCAAAGTTATGTTATACATTGCTTTCGGTCTCTAAAGCTAACAAGTTAACACGCAAGATAGATCATTTCATTCAATCTATGATTGAAACCACTTATCTTACAAGCACATCTCAGGTTTTGAAATCTTTTCATTCTAAATATCTAACACAACACTAAGAGCAAAAAGTAGTCGAAGGTCAACATTTATTAATGTGTTGTAAGTGAACTTAGGACATTATGAAGGGTTCTCTTCCTTAATCAATTCTTGGACCTCATCTTGGGATAAAGGTGGAATTAAATGTTGCGAAAAAATTGAAAATATATTACATAAAATCACTGAACTTTAGCGAACGGAATTTTGAATTGAAAATTAATAAATGATAATCAAGAATGGCAGTGTCAACATCATTTTGTTAGACCGGAAACTTACCCGAAATTTCGGAAAGAAATTAATTATTCAATTACTATTTCAAAAAAAATGGAACTAGAAATGCTCTGTTTGACTTTGACTTATATTTTAATTTAGATTGATTTACTTACTTTTATGAAATATTTGAAAGGAAGGAAAGCGTATTTGCAAAAATTAGAAATGGAAATAGATTATGATAGTAATTTCAACTAGTAGCAATTGGAAGCACTGAATAATTGCGAGGAATCACGATTCCAACATATAATCGAATCTACATTTTATATTTAGCTGTTGCCATTTGCAGTCTGACTGATAGGATTCCCATTAATTCAGTTTCCTAATGAATTTTCTTGTATATTAGATGAGATTTTTGGATAGGACCAACGTCCACCTTGATTATCAGGTGTTAATTGATATCTTTCCCATTCCGGAATAAAAAGTCGAAAACAATCCAAACGTCTGATACCGATAGTCATATCATCCTCATATTTATGTAATCGTTGAATAGCATAATCTGGTAGGCAAAAGTCGTAGCAATTCGAGCAACTTGAATCTAAAATGTGTAAAATGTTAACTGATAACTGTAGCAAAAAGTATCATGATATATCAGGATATATAATGAGAACCAGCAAATGTCTCAATTAGATATCGGGATTTAAGGAATTTAAGAGCCTTAACAACAAGTAAATAGCAGTAGCGAAAGACTTGAATTCCCGAATTAACCTCTTGTATAGACTGTATGCTTCAACAAGTACCATCTTGCACCCTGACAAATATCAATTTTATTCGTAAATTTACGTTCTTCAGTTTTCGCATCGATTATTTCTGTATGATACTGCCAATATTCTTGCCACCCGTATTCCGAATAAATCTTAAATGCTCAACCGGAAGTTCTTTCTTTTTATAATAAATGAAATTAAAACAGATTTGTCAACGTTGGCAAAATTTGACAAAATTTTGGATACAATCTTAATGAAATTTTTTAAGAGTAAAAAAGCTTCATTATATTTATTTGAAATTTGCAAAATTCCATTCGTTTGTTTACTAGTAGGCAAAAATACTGGTGAATAACCTCAGAGGTTACAGATGAAAGCGCATCGTGAAGAGCTGGGATACTTGGAATAGCGGAACGATCAAGCGGCATTAGAAAACATACGAAATGTCTACCAACGTTATCGGTCAACGCATGATCCGCTATTGCTATGTAACCCTGTAAATTTGCATCAAAGCTGATAAACTAAAAATGGAGTGGAATAATTGATAGGATGTAAATGAATATAAAATCTACCGTATCGAAATCGATAACAGTGGACGAGTTACTTCTAAATGGTAAATTGCCAATTAGTTCGAAGTGAACTTGCGATGAACTGGGGAACATAACACGAAGTAGACTAGGAATCTGATTGTTAACACCGCCCAGCGCATAATTTCGACACTTCTCACATATTGGTGGATATAAGGATAACGTTCGTGCCTAAATTTATTAGTTTCATTCATTCTAACTGCAACAGAAATAGCTGCAAAATTTAGATATTTAGGAATAGGCAAATAAATTATTGCAAAGCTTATTATACCCTTTCAATCTACCTATGACCTTCCAGAGTTATCTTATGTTCAGTGCAAATTAATTAATATATTGAATATGATCACTTCAAACATCACTACCATGGTTTATAAAAATTTTTACAATTAAAAGAAATAAAAATTATTTACAAAATTTGACGATCATTTGTAAAACTAAAAATTATTGATAAATTCTAATGGAAAAAGATTTGTTTCTTTTTTTCGCAATTTCAAAATCGTTTATATTTTATAATAATTTCGTATTTAGAAAACAAAAATAAGACGATTACTTTGTTGACAAAACAGTTCGAACTATTCGAAAAATGCAACTTAGAAAGTTTTTATTAATTGAAATAGTATTGCCGGAAGTATTACTTACCGGAGAAGAGCCAAATAAAGCATTTAATATAATCCCGAGTAAAATGAAAAATAAAATAACAAGAAGTAAAAATAACAACAAAAGACAAATCAAACGAGGGGACCATGTCGTATTCCTGCAAAAATTTCTTTTAACATTTTAAACATTCGGAAGAACTGATTCAGAACAACCTTTAGCCCAGTATCATGCATAAAAAGAAATGGTAGCACTTTGAGAAAACCAACTGTCGCCATGTCTGGTCTATCTCATTTAATATCAAACAATGACACTCTAAAGAGGTCCATGTACATTTTATGCTGCAACTTGTTTCATTTTACCTCTGGTTGATTTACTATTCTCAAACTTTACCACTAGTCATTAGGATCACTGCAATACTTTTTACAGGAAGTTCGTCATCTACATATATACTTTTATTTTGGTTGTAATTCATTGAAAATTGCTTATTCCTTTTTAAGAAATAATTTCAAAAACCTTGCTCTAAAAAGAATCTTCCTGATAAATTGTACCACTTGTTCCCATAAAGTAAGCCTTTCGTCGGATGACTGTGATTTAGTGAAACCGGCAATTAATGAAGCATCTGATCGCGGCTGTAATTTGAAATTATTTTGAAAATACAAATATTTTAAACCTTTGATATCTTTTAGTATTTATGCTCTCAGTAAACTCTTACTAAAATTATGACGATTTTGTTAACATCGTATTTCAACATACCGCATAAACATCAGCTGAATCTTCCAGCTGTCCTATTTGCATACGTTTGTAGCTATCCTTTCGAGACAGTTTACTAAAATAGGCTATATTACTAGATTACAATTAAATGAAGTGAAACAAAATGAAATCAAAATACTCAAATGATGGTCCGAAAAGAGAACATCTATGAATTTCCTTAAAAAATTTTTGCAACAATTGCTTAGAAATAACTTAGTCGATAACTTAATTACATGTATTATAAAAATATCATTATTACTATTGTTTATTTTATTAACACTGTTGATGTCATTATCATGCTATTATCATGTTAATTAGTAGGACAGATTAAATTAATCAGTGTGATAGTGTGAGTTTAATCAAATAGATGTGAAGAAATCCTTCTAGACATTTTTAGTAGACATGGTAACGAGAATGATAAAATATTTGTTTCGATATCAGAATAGTTAGATTAAACAATATGCGCACTGTAAAATATTTTTGTCATGCCTTGATTAGATAATCTCTATTTTGCGCTCATTCTTTGTATTTAATTAGTAAACGAACCTCTCTACAGGTAGAATATCAAGACGTCGCCAGGTTTCCCTTTCTTCACCGGATGGTAAAGGCAACGTATAAACGGATTTTTGATGATCAAATGCAGTACCAATTTCATTAGCCGTTGACCTGAATTTATGCAGAATTATTGACATTTTGTTTTCATTTTTGGGGGCAAATTTTCTAATGTTTCAATCTAAATCAACCTTGCTGGGTCATGGAAAACAACTTCCTTATGACTAGATTTCAAAGATGAAGAAATTCCAGAATGCTTTCCTTCGCTCCGTTCTTGAATCAACGTTGTTCGCTGATTTTCGATACTTCTATCGCTATGTATCCGTCGTTGATTAAGACTTCGCTCTGTCTGCTGTATCACTGACCCATCATCATTGATAAGGCCTGTTCCATGAGTTTGCACTATTCGTGCACCACCCTCTGCAATTTTTTTTTAACAAATATTTCACAAGATTAATTTAAAATCAAATCAAAGTTGAACAAAAATAGATTAATATTTATAATATTTCATAAATGCTAAAAAGGTATATTTTAAAATTATAAACAAAAAAATATATTACAATTTGATTTATTGCAAAAACTAAAGCATAATTTTTATTCAAAACTTTAAATTTAAATAAATAAACTAAGGGCAACTGACTTGATGTATGGACTTCATGAACATCATATCCATAGGAATGAATATTTGCGATAGAGCGATCCAAATTATCCGATAATTTGAGGTATGGTATTGGTGTACTTACTGATTCCATTTGATCACCAGGTGACATTCCTATAATGCTCTTATAAGGGAAGGGATAGTTTGTTCTTTTCTACTCCTTTTCATCGTATAAATCAATAAAAATGCTTCTTGTTAGTGATATGCTTGCATAATTGATGATAAAAGAAGTAGCAATATTTTTTAGGTTTAAATTTAATTTTCAAAATTATCTTAGATCTAATCAGAGAAGCTTATATCTTACTTGTTTAATCTCATTAAAAGATCGGAAGTTTTGTGTAAGATAATAATTTTGTCGTTTACTTTTTATTGATCGTTTTCATAGTGTATAATCAAAGAAGTGAATCTGTTAGCAATAGCAATATTTTTTAGATTTAAATTGAATTTTCAAAAATCAACAAAATTATCAGATGAAAATCTTACATATTTTTTTTCCCTAAACAATGCTTCAGGAAAATATTAAATATAAGAAGAGAAAACATAAGAAAAATAATAAATAAAATATGAAGAGAGATAGTATTAGTATCGATGAACTTTCGCGGATCATTTTCAAACGAGAAAATTAAAATTTAGAAATCATCAATAAAATTATCTTACACTTCTATTACTTTTTTTGACAGGTGATTAAGAAATTATATCGATTTTTATATTTATGGGAATTCTTTGTTTTATTTTGAAGTTAAAATTCATTTAATTATTTATTCATTTCAAAACAATTCAATTCTTTCTTCTTATACGAATTATATAAAATATAAGAAATGCTGAAAATTCATCCGTAAATTGATTATTAATGATGAATGCATGAAATAAATTGTAATTATTAATATTGTTCAGTCTACAGAACTTTTATCTTCCATCATTTCATCCTTTCTTTTGACATCTCTGCTGAAATTTGAATGCCTATCTAGATATAAAAAATGTTGAAAATTCATCCATAAATTGATTATTAATTTCCCGAAAAGCACAAGGATAATAACGTGCAAAAATGAACTTGACCGGAGATATAGTAAGCAAAAAGAAAAGTTAAGATTTTGAAAGTCCAAAGTATTAAGTACCCGCTTGTGAATGGTTATTCCACGCAGCATGAAATCAATGAAATGGACAAAATTTAATGAAGATATTGCTGAATGATTTGTGCTGCAGGAAAAAGATGCAATTCTCTTTAATGTATTTTTAGCGATAACTATATCATTTCATTTTGATATAATAATATGCAAGTATAAGTATTTTGTCCTTGTGACATGAATGAAAATTGATTGGAATATATATTAAATATTAAAATTGAACTAAATTTAATCTCAATTTTATGTGAAGATTTTGTAATGTAGAATATTAATGAAATGAATGATTGGTTTAGAAATGTTTTCAATAATATGTTCAAAATTTATTGGGAAATTTAATGAGAAGTTTAAATTTTTATAAAATAAAAAAGAGGTTCGCATACAGATATTTAGATTTACTAATTTAAAGAATCATTAAAATATGCAAGTTTCTCATTTAGATAGATATTCAAATTTCGGTAGAGATGTCAAAGGAGAGAGAGCTTTTCAAATTTTTCAATAACTTTGGTTCTCTTTCTTTTAGGTTCAGAAGAATGTCAAAACAAATTGAATGTTTTAGCTTTCTTTTTTTGAATATCATTTATTACATTAAATTACATAGATAAAGCAATTAATCGTTAAACATTTAAAATTTGTGTAAAAAAAAGGTGTCAGTTTTGAGGTTTGAATGAAACAAAACTATTGGCCTATTTGTTTGCATAACTATGAAACATTTAAATGCTATTGATCTTAGCAATAATCTGAGAAAATATTAGCAATACCTGATGTTTGCATAAATGATGCATCCCTACTGCAATCTCTCTCACCGGTTGCATAAAATCTGAAATGATAATTGATAAAATAAATTTTCAAAAGTGATGTTAAAAATCAAAAAAATACAATAGATGTAAAATTTTGAAAGAAGATATTAGTAATTTGAAGTGATAGACGATAGCGGAAAAGAATTTGTATCACTCAATTATAAGCTATATTTAAGAATGTTTCATATAAGGAGAAGTGGTAAAGTAACCTTCGTTCCGCTTCATTGTATAATGCCGATGAAGTTGGTTGTAAGGAATTTTGTGATGTGCGGTAAAAATCATGAATTGGTAATTCCTCACTGTATCGTTGTTCAATTGTTTCCGTTAGAATTTCTTGCAACGGAGCACGTGAACTACTGATGCCAGATAATCGACGTGATTCGGTCACGTAATGCTCGATGATTTCCTCTTGCTCAATTTTCTTCGCCGGAGACTCATAGTCCATCTAGAAGAAAATAAATTTATGCGAAAATTCAGTAATATCACAACGATATCAGAAGTTGAATAACATTGATATGTTATCATCCTAATAAATAATTCAGCTGATCTACTAAATCACGAATATTCGATAACGAATAAGCATGCCTTATTAGTCTTATTATCCGGAAAAATGAGACATGCAGTGGACCACTTCTACAACCAGATAAAAGAAGTCCGATTAATTTTAATTTAACAAGAATAATAAATGCAGATAGTGAGCAATAAATATAACCTGTAATTCTTATTCAAAATGATTTATGATGCCATGGAATATTCAACGGATAGAGATGAAACGAAACGAATGGTCAAAATGGGAATAAAAAGCCTTTATAAAATGCTGAATGTAAGACGATTCAACTGGTAAGATTAATAAAAATATAATTTATTAGACTGTCAGTATGTTTGTTATAAATGTTATCGATTTCCTATTGAAAAAGAATTGTATAATGGCGATTATTTTGTTGACAAAGATAGAAGTTGAAAGAATTATTCTATTCTGAACATACAACAGTGCCAGTTGATTTCAGAGTTATAAGAAAATTCAAATGAAAACAAGAAATGCTTATTCTATTGTCAATAAGTAGAAATGAATCTACAGTTCGAATCCCGATCCAATTCATGTTTTTATCTGATTCGAAAGCACTACTGCTACATCATCCACTTCAAATAAAGTGGTATTTCTTAATTTATAACATTTTACAAATATGCTTAATATGCTTACAAATACAGCTTATCTTTGGTTATCAATTAATAATTGATGTTATATCAATCGTAATAATAATGCGGGCAACAAAAAACAATAATAGAGTGGAATAAGAATCCATCATTTAGCATTATATTAATGAAGTTAATGATTTTTTTTACTGATAAACCTTTGGCTACATTTAAATAATAGCATGCAGCTGTACTAATTTCACATTTCCGAAGTTTGCAAAGTTAATCGTATAAGATTTGAGATATGACTTATTTGTTTAGGCAAATTTGAAATTTCTTCATATGTAACTGATGGAGCATCAGTTGAAAGGAAGAGGATGAAATGAAAGATTCCAAAATTGAAAAGATAGATCACTCTGCAAAAAGTCTTCGTCCCATCCGATTATTCACGCCCCGTAATTGTTCTTCCCTATCATCACTCCCTTGGAAACAAATTTTCTCGAATGAATAATATATTCGGTCAGACATCGTCGATTAAAATAATAAACCTTAAACAATCTTATCGAATGGCTATCTTCTCCGATCAATTCAAAAATCTTTTATTATAACGCTGGGTCAAACGACTGGTGTTACTACTGTTAAGATAATAATATAATGACTAAATACGGTCAATGATAGTTGCTGTTCTAAAAGCGGAATGTGTAAGCGGAAGTTATAGTAATTCAAAAATGATCTCATTGAAGTCTCAGATAAAGGATGTTAAATACATTAATTTTCTGAAACTTTTCATAATCTTTCATGTCTTCACGATTTGTTTATAATATAAGTACTCAGTGAGTGAGAGAAGCATTGTTATCTTGATAAGAACTAGTTAGTAATCAGATTTGTTTCAAAGAAGATCATTTTCTTCTGGCAGTGCAATGAATCAATATTTTTAGTATCACTCTCAAAAGTTTGATATATGGCTGAACTACCAGTACAGTGGTCATTAATAAATTGATTGATATATCTGTCATAAGTGCCTATTTAAGTGGATCCATTATTGCAATTTTGAAAGGATAATAATTTTAAGAATTAGAAAATTCGAAGAGCGTGTCACCATAGTGATTTAGTCGTGCCCTATGTCACCATAGGACATAATAGCACCACTTTTACAACACATGCTCTTCCGGAAAAGCACAAGGATAATAACGTGCAAAAATGAACTTGGTCGGGGATATAGTAAGCAGAAAGAAAAGTTAAGATTTTGAAAGTCTAAAGTATTAAGTACCGTTTGTGATTAATTGTTCCACGCAGCATGAAATCAACGAAATGGACAAAATTTAATAAAGATATTGCTGAATGATTTGTGTTGAAAGAAAAAGAATGATTTTATGAGATAGATTATACGACATTCGATGATTATACGATTTTACGAATTGAGTAGTGGAATATTGGGTGAATCGAATCAAAAGATGAAATGAGATTTCAGACAGAAAAAAGGAAGAAATTTCTATAACGCATTGAGAAAGATGAACGCATTGCATAAGATAGCTATGTAGAAACTAAGAGTTCACGGAAAATTAAAAAGATTTAAGGATTCTTAAAAGTATTAGACAAGGGAAGACGGGAAATAGCGCTTCTCAATGGTAAAATTTCACTGTTATTGTTTTTCGAAGAGTTCGAGTTTCTATATCGAATAATTCTTACACCAACCTCTCATATCAACAAAAGTAGCAGAAGTGTTGAAAACGATAGAGAAAGTGAAGTAAAAGAAGCAATTTATAGTTGTAAAAATTCTAAAATAAAATGAAATTAAAATTAGTAAAAAATTAGTCCAATGAATGCGATAGAATGGAGAAGTGTGCAAACAAATTTAGCTCATCACGATAATATTTTGAATAAATTTATTTTCTAAACATTAAAAGCAATGATCACTTAAATTCCGTACTGATAACAATCTGATAATCTAGTATCATTTCGCTGGAACGAAAAACAATCAATCTTTAATTTTAACAATAAATAAGAGTGACATGCGAAGAAAAATAAACTATTTGTTGCCAACGCTATGAAATATAAATCTACGAACAATATCGATTATTTGAGGCTTAAAATTAGTCTAAAATAAAGAAAAAATAATAAGTAAGAATAGTGTGAAAAAAAAGTGATGAAAGTAGAATCCAGTGGATATGTAATTATCGAGAAGAGTTAAATTTTCCGGATTATGTGATACAACAATGATTATCAAGAATTGACTATGGTAGAGAGGTAGCAAAATGAGGTATAAACAATTATCATCAAATGATAGCAATTAATTCTATCTTCCACAATATTGAAGCAATGCCATTGTATTATGAAGAGAGGAAATCGAAAACAAACACTATTAGAGAAATTCCGATTAAGTCTTTAAAGGACTGAATCGATTAATAGCTCAGTTTATTCAAACACTAAATTTGATATGTCAAAAAATAAGTGTTGAAAAGATCGAAATAATAATAATAAGCGTAAAAATTACCATTTTATATGAAGTTTCGAAATCTCATTTGATAGAAAAACGGGTCTGAAATTTCTTTTTGAAAAATAAAAATAATAAATAGTTGGAGGTTACAGTTAGGATCAAATTGGTGTGAAAAATTTTAATTGTACTTCAACACTTTTCATTTTAAATACTTTTTAGATATATATTTTATGTCTACGGATATTGTTATTGTGAAGGAAGAACTTCCAAAGAATGAATGATATTTGGAACGATGACTTAAGAGCAACATAACTATTCAGCTAAGATTAATAATTTTTAAATTCTTATTACTGAAATAATCTTGCATTAAAATAATATTAAGAATATTTAAAGCGGAGGTGAAATTTATTCATTCAACGTAAACCTAAAGCAACTTTCACAGAATAGAAGTGGTAGAAAATTTTTGAAAGATTTGTTAATAGATTTTCCATATATAATAATAATTATTACTAATAATAATAATAACAATAATAATAATAACTGATGATGATGAAAAAAAAATAAATTATCAAACAAGCAACTGATGGTGATGATAACAATAACAATAAATTATCAAACAAGCAATTGATGGTGATAACAAGCAACATTAATCACAGAAACGCCTTTCACAAGAAATATTAGCCTATAAACTGAAAGGAACAAATGCATAACGATCATTCATGTGTGATGATCGCATGATGCGATCATTAATCTTCGATTTTAATCCTTCAATATGTTCAGATTCTGGAAATAGAGAAGTGCGGACGCTTTCAATATGCAAAATTTAGGAATTCGAAAATTAAAGGATTAGAAAACTTATGGGAAATAAGGTGAATTTGCAGAAAGGGAAAGTGATCGAGGAAGAGGACAGGAAAGGTAAGCTGAAAAAGGTAAAAAAGTAGACAAGATTTTCAAATTTACGTTTTATTCTATAAGTTTACCCATTTATCGAAAACGACATAAATACTATTAAGCTATCCCATTCACATTAAGTACAACAATCTTTCCACTTAACTTTCTTTTTAAATCGAAAAATTTCTCCAATATACCAAATATGCCACTACCAAAACATTTATGATCGTTTATTTAACCAGAATTTATTGAGAATAACAAAAATTCTAATTGGAATATGTACTGTAAAAACATATTCAAAGTTTGTTAGAACGTTTCAACTTGAGAAAAAATCGTTGGAATTAATTAAATATTGGATAGTTGCCTGCTAAAAATTGACTAAGAAAATTTTCCCTAATTCTTTTAGTACTATTCATTAAGGTTGGAAGTAGAAAATGTGGAATATATAAAAGATACAGCCGGGATATCTAGCAATGAATAGTTTGATGACAATTAATGAATGAATAGTTGATATGAATGAATGGCAATGATACTGTCACTTGTCACTTATCACGCAACTTACGGTCTTCTATATATTTAGTATAACTATTCATTCAAAAGAGATTATGAAATTATTATAAGAAAAATCTTATATTGTCCCATTCTTCATGAATATCTTCTGTTAATATTTAAAAATTTTAAATTTTTTGAACTAATTTTATATTTAAATCAGAAAAAAATGTATTTTAAAACATACTTCAAGTAATGAATGTTGAAAAAAAAACCACTTAAACATGTTTGAATATCATCTCTTAATAGATATTATCATATATCATGATGATAATACTAGACATTATCACATATCATCGTTTCGAAAAAAAGCCGTTAAATTCATAAAAATAACGAAGTGAAGGTCTTTTATATGCATATTATCATCAGTCGCAAAGATCAGAATTTACGACTTTCTTCCAGTCAGTCTGAAAAAAAGAAACTATTCACTAAGA